ATCGGGTGTCCATTTTTAGACATGCACAGTAAAGAGGCTGCCACATTAAAGCCTTTTTAAGACTAATCAATAGCTAATTGATGAGATGGAGTCTTATCTTGCAAAATCAGACCCACTCTGATCCATCCTAATCCACCATAAGTGAAACACTTTGCAGAATTTACATGTTGTATCGGAAAGAAAAACCTCCAGCAGAACCAGACTTATGTTAGACAGACCTCTATTGAGACTGAGATGGAATCGAAGAGGGGATGGAGGAGGATGCAGAGAGAGAGAGAGATGGAGAGATGAATGGAGATCAACAACAACAATTCATCCAGATGTGTCGTTACAATGCCAGAGATTATGATACAAGTTTGAGTACTGTTTACAGGAACAGCATGATCATGATAAAAGACAGATCTTAGTTTGGCTTACGCAGGTCCACAGTAGGTTTCTTAGAAAGTCTGCAGCATTGATCCAGAGGAATCTACAGGATGAGGGAGCTCAGGGACTCTCTGAAAAGACTGGTTAGTGACTTTAGTTGGATATGATACAACAATTTAATAGTATTGTGAAATAAGAAATACAATTGCTGATTGTGACTGAACGTCAGTCTTAAATATGTAGACAAAAAAATTTTTGATTCTGGAAAAAAATACCACAGGATGCTTAAATTTATGTTCAGCCATCTGTATGAATGAAAAAAGTATCTAAAAATATAAAAAACAACATTTTGGATGGATTATTAATTGATTATCAAAGACAATTACTTGTGGCTATGATGTAGATTTTTAAAATATAATGGATAAATATGTCAAAAGCAAAAATAACTCCATATATCACAGCACATCAGTACTAAACAGCAGCCAGTAACTGTTTCAGCTTTGATCACTGGGAATGGAAATTGTGTTATTTAGAAAAGTTTCTGTGAGGGCCACTGCCAGTGTGACGCAAATTATTAAAAAAGACACTTATGGACTTGGTCATGGATTTGTTGATCTATCTGGTTGTAACATTCAGAGATATTTTGATCGTCACCTGTTGATGAAGCTGCTCAAATCTAACGAATAAATGGAATGGAGCCAGGCTTGGAAAGCAGTGTATGTTTCCAAATGTAACATAAACTGCTGCTGATTCAAATGATACTTGATGCAAACTTTTAAGCAGAAGCAGCATCTAATAACATCCATCTTTCCTCCACACTGCTCAGACTATTTCCTCGTCTGGGTGGAGCCTCTGGATCTCAGCATGTCTGCTGTGTATCCCTGGAGGTTCTGCTGCGATCAGATCCTGCACAGCTCAGGACATGACACTATTAGTCTAGACAGAGTAGGTGAAGCAGAGTCTGCTGTCAGTCAGCTGCTGTCACGCACTCACATCTCCTCCTTCCATCAGATCCTTCCTGACGTCCAGCATGTTGTATCGTTTCTCCCCCAGAGACCTGCGTCACGTCAGGACACCCACCGTCACCTCGCTGTGACATGGAGGAGCAGTGTGACAGCTCAGGGCGTCACACGGCCTCTGCAGTGCCTCAGGTGAGTCTCATGAATATTTAACAAGGCGGAAAGAAGCGGTGAAGACGCCTGACTGGACTAGACCACTTCACCCTCCAGGTGGTGGTGGTGGTGATGTGGTGGTGGGGGGAGGGCTTTGAGCTGGTGGGTGAATGGTCTGACCCGAGGTCAACATCAGAGCAGGAGGCTGAAATTAATCATATGTATGATGCCTCACCCGACACACAATGTTTATTCATGTGTATTTCTACAATATATCCCAGAACTGTTCATCTTCAGGTGGAGTTTGATTTGACAGGACAGCTTCCAAAGATTTGATCTTATTTCTGACACTGTTTCCTCACGAATATTAAAGGGATATTCTGATGTAAAATTAAGTTATGGTCAAACACGCCATAACCCCGAGTTAGATACCCCGTCAAGAGATGAATGTTGCTGACCGCTTGCTTCTCTAGTTATACCAACTCCAGTAACGACCGCACAATAGCAATACACAGTGGTCTCAGGAGCCATAAACAAACCTCAACCAAAACGCCACTCTTTAGCCACAAATAATGCTCAGAACAGCACCTAACTTCATCAACAGTACAAATAGTGTCCTAGCCACAGCACTAGCCACCAAACATCTTTTTTACTTTGCCTGATTTCTTTAGCAAAGAGACTAAACACAACTCACCTACTCTCTTCCAGCAGCCGCCTAAGACCGCTGTGTATTGCTATCGTGCGGCCGTTACTAAAAATGGTATAACTTGAGAAGCAAGCGGTCAGCAACATTCATCTCTTGACAGGGTATCTAACTTGGGGTTACGGTGTGTTTGACCCTAACTTAATTCTACATCGGAATATCCCTTTAAAAGCTCAGACGTGGGCTCGCAGATTCCTGTTTAATCACCTTTTCCTCTGTTTATATTACAGTTTTGTATTTCGGAGCTGAAACTTGAGCGTGGTGTTAATTCAAGAAGGCCACTAAAACAAGCTCCACCTACAGCGCGTCATCTGATGCTAACGGCAGCCAACATCAGCTGGGGTTTGGCTCCTCCTTTTCATTCTGTGTACGATTTCACAAGCGTCATATGGATTTGCCCTGAGGTCTGCTGTTTTGTCTTTGCTGCTGCTCTCCCTGCTTCAGACTTCAGACACACCACCTAATGTAACTTATAGCACGAAAAAGAAACACTTCTCTTAAACTGAAGTGGTCCAGACTGGTAAACATCATCATGTTTATTAGCATCTATGTTGGTTTACCATTGTGTAATTCATCAGTCATCGACTCTTTTGGCAGTGGGAGGTGAAGTCAAAGGTTCACAGGTGAAAACCATCATTTGCCTCCGGTAAATACAGTCAACTGTGGTAAAGTCAATAAAGGAAATATCAAGTCCAATTAATTTCAACAGGTCATCTACAAATTTCACACGATTTAATCATAATATGAAGCTCTGCATAGTTAGAAAAATCTGTTTATTTTTTTTCAAGTGTGTCTTTGTGTAACCGCTAAAGTTTGCAGAGAAGAAATCTCTTCATTTTGTTTGGCTGTCTCCTTGTTTTTCTGCAAAAAGTGTCATGAAGCAGCTGCAGTGGATGTTGGAATGAGGATTTCTGAGCTGAAAACATGTAAAAACTAAAACAACAGGCACTGACGTTCACTGTCAACATTCATTTAATCACAAACGTCTTTATTTTTAACAAACAGAATCATCAGAGAGCAGAAACGAAGAAACAACAAGACGGCAAACACACTTATGCCGCTGCTGCTCTGTGCGTGTGTGTGTGCGTGTGTGTGTGTGTGTGTGTGTGTCTGTGTGTGAGTGTGTGTGTGTGTGGAGGTGTGGGTGGAGGGGGTATTAGTCACCAGAAATGGCACAGAGCCTTTCTCTCTCTCTCAGTAAGTGGGTCACTCCATCTGGAGCAGAATATGGAAAAACAGCAACACAACGTTTTCGACCAAACGCTTCGACATGAAAAAAAAAAACTCAGTCTGAAGTCAAGAGGAGGTGAAAAACAGCAAAACATGAACTGACCGCAGGGATTGGTCACTTCTTACTCTTTAAAATGCTTTAAATTAGTCTCAATCAGCAACTAAAGCACATGACTTTAACCTTTAAATGTCCTTCAAGCTTCTTCAAAATCCACAGCGACACTTTCACTGATGTTTCCACGGGTTTGTTCAAGTATACTTTTCCTATGAGAAGATTAGTGAGAGATTTGGGAAAGCTGTTTTGGTCTTAACTTATTACGAGTCTTTAAAAATTGAGCTGTAGGTAATGATAACAACTTTTGAGTACAAACCCCAATTCTGATGAAGCCAGGATGTTGTGTAAAACATGAATAAAAACAAAATACAATGACGTAAATCATTTTCCTACTACATTCAGTTAAATACACTAAAAAAACAAGATATGTAATGTTCAAACCAATACACTTAATTGTTTTAGTTATTATTTTTGCGAATATTCACTCATTTTGAGTTCGATGTCTGCAGCAGATTCATGCTTGGTCTCTGAATCTAATCAGGTTTGGCTCTGCGCTCACTTCATCCTTGTGCAACACCAGACAGCTGGACTCATGGATTTTCTGTGAATTCAATGGTATTCATAGTGGCTTCTGAAAACTTTCGACTTTGTCACCTCAGGCCTTGCTTTGCTCACAATGACAGTTGTTGATGAAGTTGAGTGAAACATGATCTAGTGTCAACATTTAGTGTTTACCAAAAAAAAATAAAAATGGGTTGCCTTGCAAATCTGCGATTGAAGGTTCTGGATAAGCTAAGATGGAGTAGAAATGAGTGTCGCAGAGTCGGTAGAGGCCAAGCGGCAACCCCTGGGCCGGAGAAATAAAGCTGATGCAAAAAAAACTGCAATTCCCCAAGTGTCCACCTGAGACTCGAGGCTGTCTGCAGTAGCACCTGAAAAAAACACAAACACAAACCGCATACAGCTCCCCCACCCCCACAGTTTTGGTCTGAGTAGCTCAGGGTTTCCATGGCGTCTACTGTACAGGTTTTATTTTGTAGCACAGTCATATAAAGGTTTTTGAGGTTACAAATCAGAGGTTTAAGGTTAGGTCACTGTGAGTAGCTATAGGCCTGTCTCTCATGGGTTGACTGAAAGTTAGGTTAAGCCAACCTTATTAATACCTCAAAAAATCACTGCAAAAAAGGCTTCATAACTCCACTTCAAAACACAGACAAAAATCTTGAGAAGACAAATAAAGGTCATAATCTAACAAGAAAAAAGCTGAAGAAAGTCTAAATATCACAAGAAAAGAGTAATAATAAAGTCTAAATATTACAGAAATAAAAAACATTATGTGGCTAAGTTAACAACTTTATTTCTTTGTGTTATGACTTAAATTCACTGTCACAAGTACTTTATTTTAAAATCCTATTTGTTTCATGTGGCCCTTACACTCTGTAGTACAAAGAGCCGAAAGTAAATAAATAAAAAAACTATAAAAATTTCAAAACCTTGGTTTGTCAGGGTGGTGCAGAGGTCTTACCTGTGAAATTCAGCGTAAGAAGTGCAGAATATAAAAACCATGTCTAAAAATACGTACACAGTCAACTCTGTACCCTCTGAGGAGGTTTGTGTTGCTTGATTGAAGGTTACGCTGAGGACTCTTAAGGCTCTTGAGGTTTTCTGTACTGACCTCTACTATGTGTTTGACTGATAACAGTGTGGTGGTTTATCATTGAAGGATTTCCATAAATACTGTCATTAACTTAGGTGACTCAGTTAAACTCCATCTTCAACGAGAGCCCAAACTTGAACATATCTGTCTCTGTTGTATCCAACTAAGTTTTTAAAAAAGTCCTGATTATTTTACTTATTTAGGTAAGAAAAATGTTCAGTTTATCAATGATGTTGAACAGTTTCCTTTCCAAGAAACACCAGTTGAATTAAAGGTCACATAGTTAGTGTTTTTAGTCAGAGCTTCTTGAAAGGTCCCGTCTGATTTCCCTCTGACGCACAAGGATGTCATCAGTGTGTCATCAGGTAGTCAGACACTGATCTACTAATGGATCTGATGGTTTATCATGGAGTAAAACCATAATTTTAATCATTTAAAAAAGAGAAGCACCAATCATTGATGTTAATGAGAGTGGCAGCACTCTATGGTAAGACTCAACTGAATATATACAGCATGAAGAGGTATGATTAACAAGTAGAGTTAATTTTAAAGGGCTGTGTTGTTCCTGGAGCTCTGATTCACCGAGAGAGAAACCACTTCATCCTGGTGACTCATCGATGAGTTGAACAAGTGAAAGCCTCAGAGAGTAAATTGATCAAACACACCGTACAGTCAGAAGTCTGTGGACAGTCGTATTCATTTCCTTTAGTTTACATTTAGTCTGTTTTTCCTGCTTAATGGACTATGGTTTGAGGTTACTCAGATTTTCACTCATCGATCAAAGAAATCATCTTGTGAAGCATCATTCACTCAAGGAAAAATGCTTTTGTTCACTGTCAGAGCAGGAGCTGGAAATAGAGGGCCTGTTTCTCCCACCGTCAGCTTTGGTATAATTTACACTCTAAAGCCTCCCTACAAACTCTCAATTATCACACACTTACATATCTTTGAGAGCTCTTCATGCCCTTTCTTGAACAAGGTGTTGACAGGTTTCAGACCTGGACAGACAGTCCAAGTACTTCATAACGAAGTAAAAATAGCTACATTAATGCTGCGTTACAGTTGCCTCGGGAGTCGGAGCTGGGAATGACATTACACCCAAGTTGACGGCGTTCCAGTTAACAAGTCAGAAAATCAAGATGGACGCCTATAGTTAGCAGTTGTTAGCTGTTGTTTACAATTGTTAGCTGTTGTTAGCCGTTGTCAGCTGTTGTTAGTTGTTGTTAGCTATACTAGTTGTAAACAACACATAACACAGTATTTTACTCTTACAAACACTATAGCATCGTGTTCACAGTTAGATGTTGGGCTGTACAACATATACCACCACCAATTTCACAAAAACAAAACAGAGGTGCTTATAAATAATACATTACGAGAGCTTTCACTGTTACTCTTTACTGTTAATGCACTGCGCTGCCGTCTTGGATTATGACGTTGTTGTCAATTGCTGCTCACTGGTTTTTGGTTTATAGTTCATCCGCTTTGCTTTCACACCTCAAACAAACTGCACAAGGGTTTTTTTTGGAAGACCAGAGTTCACTTCTTTTGGTCTGCACCACACCTCAAATGAGCTTTCACACCACTTCAGACATACTGAGCTGTCTGAGGAAACAGACCAGAGTTCATTCAAAGTGGACCAAACAGCTCTGGTGTGAAAGAAACCTGAATTACTTAATCAATGACATTAAGTAAAACGTAAACTATCAAAGCATACTTAAACCCCAGAGTTCCTGATAGTGTTATTTGGAGTACTTTCACGATAATCTCAGTTAAATCTATTTCGAAAAATATAAAGAAAAAACGTACCACAATTTAACTCTGAATTCAAAAACTGCAAACCGAACACAGGTGACTGTTTGATCACTTATACTGTATATTGACACAAACATCTCATCACAGCAGAACAGTGTGAGGCAAATAAACACACATTTTGAACAAAAGGTACATTTTCATAATAAATAAGGACAGCTTGCACACACACTTCTTGTCAGGAAATTAACATTTTGTGTTTGTATTTTTACAAAAATAGACTTGAAGACATTATAAGCCCAGTTCAAGTTAAAACAAAATAAATATTTGTTCAAGAATTGCCAACGACTCCTTTCTTATTCTCTCAGCTTATATTTCATGAGTCATTTAAAGTCTAATTATTACATGTCATCTTTAGCAGTAATATATCTGCGGTTTTAGTGTGCTACTGGCCTAAAAATTTACATAACATTTATATAAATAGAATTAGGTACTAAAAATAGTAATTTCCCCGTAAATTAACTTTATTTCTTTTTCGTGGCTATGTGTATAAACTGGTAACTGCTAACTTCAGTGATGGTTCACGTCATTGTTGGTTTTGTCCAAAGAGATCGCCTGGATCAACACAATTTAAAAACTGTTCCCAAAGACTTTAACGGATTTCAAGTACCAAAGACCAGATCATTCTTCTGCCAGCCAGGTATCTCAAAAAAGACAAAATCAAGGTCAATCAGAAAAAAATTGATGAAAAGGCAAAAATGTTACTAATTTTTCAAATTTGTACGAAAAAAATCACGTCTTAGAGCTGCAATAGCAATGTGCGCAATAGTCAGACCGTAGGATGTGCGATATCAGTCATATGATCTCAAGATGTCATGTCGTCCCCACTTCCTCGTGGTCCAGGATTAATTCATGCCAAATTTTCATCTATCTGCAGCCTGTCTTAAAAACTTAAAGAAACTGACCATGGTGCAGGCAGTGTCCGTATGTGTAATATAAGGGTAGAATGTAAACATGCACACGAGTCACTATGCTGCCACTATCACAGATACCCCAGAAGCTTGGTGCATGTTTATGCTAGTGGCACACAAGAGGACTACTAAACCAATGGGACCAGAGTTTGAACTTTTAGCTCGCCTACAGTGCGTGTGAATGATGTGAAAATTATACACAGAAGACGACGAATTGTTAAATCATAAGTTTCCCACAGCTTGTGATGTGGATCAAACATAATTTTTAACCCCTGCAGAATTTATTGATTCTGTGTACAAGAGTCAACTGTGTTTATTTGTAACTTAATGTAGTGATAAGGTGCTGCACCTGTACTTCTCCACTCCTGTCTGTGCAGGTGTCAGAGCTGTTATCAGAGGGCTGACCGCAGTGTGATGACAGATGATTGTCGGAGAAAGTTTTGACTTGAAACAACTAAAAAGACTGAAAGATTTAAAAAATATCAGCGGCAGAGTCAGGGGGTGGCCAAAATTTCATTCACTCACTGGCCCCCCTGAAATCCCACACGATGAACGGCTATTTACCTTGTTTGAGTTACTATTTGGACTTGTTTCAACAGGCTGCCAGTGGCTCCTTTGCAGTTTGAAGTAAAACACTTTCTTGTGTCTGTACTCTAAATTGTGACTTTGGTTAAACCTCTCTCTTAACCTGCCCAGACTTGGTGTAAGCCCCTAATGTTTACCACACCTGTCTCTTCTTTTCAAAAACTCATTGTCACAGTTTTGCCAACCCACCCAAAAAATTAGGTCCCCCAATGACTCAAATATGGTTGGTTGATTGTTTCTAATCACTAACTATTGCATTTCACTGGTATAGTCCTGTATTTCTTCATTCTGAAATTCATACTGCAGAAGGAAAAAAATGAGATATAAGTTGTTTTAAATACTTTGCGGCCCAAATGGATACTATATTCCATTCCCACTAAGACTGCTCTGATGAATGCAGCTAAACAGACCTGGGTTTGTTCGGATGAGTTCCCCAGAATCAACATAACATGAAAACTCTTCACAGTGTCTCTTTAGTTTTTAAAGACACCAAAGAAACCCACAACCAAAGCAAGTCACACACAGTTGTTATAAAAAATGTTCAAATCTGTTGTTGTCGTTTAAATTTGCTATGATTAGCCGATGGGTCATTTTGTGACATCATTTTTATCCCTTTACTGTTTTTCTGGTCTCTCCTATGCAGAAATTGCCCCCTGTATAAACCTGCAGAAAATAATCTGAAGAAATGAAATTATGTTATACTTCTATATTGTGGGAACTGGGAAGTAAAAAGAAAATTTTATACAACAAAATTTAATCAAATGATAAAGGTATTAAATCTTCATATCAGTTTTATGGTCAGTTAAGGTGAAATTAACATTTCAAAAGATTTTTTTCATCTTCATAGTGTAAAAAAATTACTTTCTGTTATAAAAGAAATGGCAAACAAACAAGGTGAACTATATCTTTAGAATATTATTGAATTGGAAAAAAAAAACCTTTGCACGACAGAAATTTATTTTACAACTCAAAACAGTGAATATTACACTAAGTCCTTCGATTGAGTGCATCTTTTTAGACACCATTTTCTTAAAATCCAGCAGAAATCATTGATAGTGGATAAACAACTCGGAATGTCCCAGTTTTGATGATATCAGACAGCTGACAAAGAAAACAATGAACTCTTTTAAAATAAATTTTTGTTTAAAGGTTTGCAAATTCCAGTGGCAACAGAGAAAAAGCACAAATACATTTTTCAAAAATTAAAAAATAAATCCCCATTTTTACCAGCCAGCTCTGAGTTTAGGTTACAGACCTGCAGAGTGAGGCAAACGCTGCTCTGATCACTCTGAGTGTGGAGAATCTGTGGCCAGAGTCTTTCTGAAAACACTAACTGTACATTTGAACATGAACATTTTAATAACAGGCTCGATCTGTGACAAAGTCATGTGATCACTGGACAACAGAATATGGATGACCTCTTTTCTGAGTTCTCTTTCAACGACATCAGAAATCATCTTTAAGCAGTTTTAAAATTCATTTGAAGTTTCATTTGTTGAAACCTTGTTGGCCTCTTCAATAAAACACTTTAGTTTCCAATGTTTCCTCTGCAATTAATCCAATGATGATGACGTCCAAAATAACAGATTTCTGTCAAACTGTAGAAACCCTGGTGTTGGAAACCCTTCATTCAATCAGTACACTCTTGTGAACGTGTGGATTCTGTTCAAACTCCGGTTACGATGTCAAACTCTGGTTATTCAGAGCCTTTTCAGTTCAAATCTCTCAACTTCCCTTTTTTAGATTTCATCACCAAAATTCAAATGTTGAAATCTGAATTTTGCCCATGTTATGAATTAATCCGCCCCCTTTCCTGTTGGCTCCGCCCCATCCAGCTGGATGATTGACAGTGGTTTACTGGACTGAGTAAATCCTGTTAAATATCCATCTGTCCTGTAAAGGCGTCAGGGACGCCGTCTTCTTCATTGCTCGCTCTGACAGAGTGCGAGTGAAATCTGATTGTGACAACTCTTCCTCTCAGGTTATTTTCACGTCTTTGTCCCACTGAAGCCCCGCCTCCTCAGCAGCTGGAGTCCTCACTGCCTGCCCCTCCCCCTCCTGCTCCAGACTTTGCAGTGGTGTTTGACCCAACAGCGATCTGGCAGCCATTTGTAACATGACTCATGACCTTCTGTTTCAGCTGAGCGACCTGCTCCCGCAACATTGCAGCAGTGGAGGCTAGGTCCGAGTTCTGATTCTTCAGGACCTTCACCTTCTCCTCCAGACGAGAGATCCGCTCCAGTTTCCGCTTGCGGCACTTAGAGGCTGCGATGCGGTTACGAAGCTTCTTGCGCTCTGCTTTGATTCGCTCCTGCGTCTCCAGGTCAATCGGGGAGAGAGACGGAGGAGATGTGGGGTCACCCGGTGGATGAGGGACCTCAGGAACAGTCTGCGGGGCGTCCAGGCCTCGAGTGTGGGGTTGAGGGCCTCCACCACTGCTGTGACCTGAACCACTGCTGTAACCCATCTGTGCTCCAGAGTATGCCATCTGGCTGGGGGTGTAGCTGCCGAGGTTGGTGTAGACCGGCATTTCTCCACTGGACATCAGGTTTCTCTGGTAGGACGCCTGCAGGGAGACAGAAGACGAGGGGGGCGGGGACATGGGGCTGCCTCCAACCAGCTGGTTCTGCTTGTGAAGGTCGGCGAGTGCCTTGACGAAACCATCTGCGAATCCTTCTTGCTCATTGGTGGCCTGGTTGCGGTACATGAAGGGATTGGCAGGGTTGGGCACAGGGCTGGTGGTGACCAGTCCCTGGTTGGACTGGATGATCAGGTGCTCCAGGTCAGGAGACGACAGCTTCAGCAGGTTCATGTCGGCTGAGGATGCCATAGAAGCCATCAGGGAGCTGTTACCTCCAAGACCTAAATTGTTGTGGGTCCCTCCTCTCCCCCCTGACACCCCTCCACCACCGCTGGAGAAGTGATGACCACCCCCCATCGCCATGGCCTTCTTGCTCATCAGCATCTTGTTTCCCGGGTAGCGGTCGTATTCTGCGATGTGGCTGAAACCGGGGACAGCGGGGGAATCATCGTGATAGAAAGGAGTCTCCATTTTGGCCGTCATTGACAAAGAGGCGTCTCAGAGAAAATCTTCATAATCAGATTAACCTGAATATCAGAGGGGATAAAAACCTTCCACTGACGTCGGTGGCTGGAGGATGAAGGCAGGACGAGAGAGAAGAAGAAAGAGAGAGCCTGCAGGGAGAGCAAACAAAGCTGTGAGTTGAAGAGGAGGACGAAGAGGAATTAAAGATTACTAATGTGTAAACTTGGAGGTGGTGCTGACACTACTGATACTACTGCTCTCTAAATGTGTGTCTGTATTTCTGTATATGTTGTGTGTTTACAGTGGGAGGTGAGACTGAAGACAAATATCCAACAGGATTGTAAAGCTCCAGTGTGAAATACTTGTAGTTATGCTGCTGTCTAAGACTGTTTCCAGGACTGCGAGGTGGTTGAAAGTACTCAAATAAGACATTTAAAGGGAACTTTTATTTTGTTATATTTTTTATATGGACGCAGTAATTATAACCTCAATTTTAAAAGAAGTTTGGAACCTTGAAAAATGTTTACTGAACAATTCAAAGTCTATGTGCAATTGAAAATAGTGCCAAGACAATTTGTCAAATGTTCACACTTAAAAATGTAACCGTTCTATGAAAAATAAATCTTCATTTCAGATTTGAAGGCAGCAGCTAGTTTCAACAAAGTTATGTAAATTTAGATAAAATTATCCTGAGAAACACCTCCAAACATATGGAGAATTTCACCCTTCTGTGGGGGCCCGTGTGATCAAATAGTGGACCAAATAATTTTAGAATATATTTCTTAGTAAATTCTTCAGAGAAACCCTGTACAAAGGGGACAAGGACCAAAACCAGATGTCACAGCATTGAAAACAGATATGACTCTGTGTTGGAAATCACGGCATGAGCTCAAAATCACTTCCAAAAACCACAAAAGCAGATAAAAACTGATCCATACAGAGAGAAAACCAGATAGAAAATTGATCCTGAAACGACTTCTCCCAGCCAGAGCCGTCCTAGATGGACTGAAGTAAAGTGGGAGCTGTCCTGTAGGTGAGGAAAGGGACCTCTTTGCTTGTTATCAGCTCACTGTTCAAAGCCAGCATCCCTGATGGTATCGGGATCATCAGTGTCCATGGGTATCTTCCACTTCTGTGAAGGCTCCATTAATGCTGAACTATATCTACAAGTTTAGGAACAACTTATGCTGCCATCCAGACAAAGACTTTTTCAGGGAAGACCTTCATATTTCAGCAAGACAATGACAAACCACATTCTGCAGGGATTACAACAGCATGGCTCTGTAGTAGAAGAGTCCTGCCACTAAACTGGCCTGCCTACATCAGCATCATTGACAACAACATCCCTAATACCATCTTGTTGACATATTCTGGGGTCTCAAAGATTTTGAGGTACAAAAATGAAATACTCAAGTGAGCTGCAAAGTGGCCTGTAAAAGTGTTTTATAATAATTTGAGGCAATTGACCCATTCAAAGTAAAGTACATCCTCTAAAAGCTCTTTTTTAACTCAAGGGCTCAGATTGTCATTCAAGTATTTGACAGCGGTACATAAAAGAATCCTTACAGAGCTAGACCTCCTCTTCTGGAGAAAGATTCTTCAACAGACACGTATTTCTCTTTAAAGCCACCAGGCTCTGTTGACAAAACGGAGCTTTTACCTCACAGAGACAGACCTACAGCTGACAGCTAAAAGAGCTTTTCTTCCTGTTGTTGTGTTAAATAACTCACTTGTATTTATATGCACCATAGAGCAATCCAGTGCCACATGATAATATAAACAAACTCACTAACTGAGTCAGTAGTAGATTAGTAGCTGTGATGTAAACTGATATTTTTGTCAATGGAGTCTGGTGGCTTTGAAACCAATACTCACAGAGCTGTGTTGAGTATCTCTGTCCTTACCAAGGCAGCCTGTCTCTGCAGGGATTCTTTCTCTAACGTTGTTTTCTGAGCTTCAGTAATAAAATAAACTGTTGATATGCATTCATCCCACATTATTGCTCTGCAGGATAACTCTGTAGACGTTGCAGCGAGCTACTAGAAGAATTCAAAACTAAGGTTAACAACATCAGGGAAAAAACAACCATGCTCAAGGATGTGAATTTATTTCTTTATAATATCTGTGGACTTTAAAAATTTAGTCAAATTTAGATTGTTTACCTTGATTAAATTTAGGTAGTTCAGCATCACACTTTGAAAGCTTATCTTAATTTGCCAGAATCACTTAGAGGTTCCTGCTAGCATGCAGAGTTTAAACCCTCCATCCATTTGAAAGCTTAAAAGCTTTCAAGTTTTCATTCATCATGTGTCATTATTTGCAAAAGGACATTCGAGGCACTGTAGTCTTTAGTCCAGATAAGTATTTCATTTCTACCATCCATCCACTATCCCATCTGCCACTGATCGGAGGTGGGTGCAAGCTGGACAGGTTACAAGCTTATCACACGGCCAGCACAAGAACACACAACCAGATGTGATCAAGAGACTAATGAGCAAGTCTGGCCTAAGTATCTGGAAAAACACCCTCACATGCACAGGAGACCATGCATACCCAACACATAAAAGCCCCATCTGAGATTCAAACCAGGAACCCTAACTGCTTCAGCTCACCACAGCACCACTATGCAGCTCCTTTGTTCATCACAACTAAATACTCTGACAGGGTAAGAGTCATCTCATTAGTTTTGGTGCAGAGTCAAGCATCAAAGGAACTTTAAACTACATGCTCCTGATGTTCTTACTAATGCTGCTGAACATAACAGCAAAGGATGAGTTTACTGACTGATCGAGATTTTGCCAGAGAATCACCAAGGCCAGCAGAGGAACAAAAATAGTCACACAGCGACAAATAAATTCTAATCATACTCCCTTTCACAAACTACAAAATTAACAGAAGCACAAACAGTTTGATAGAAAGCAGCTCAGCTACAATTAGAGTCGAGAGAGAGTGCGGACAGATATTCAAGTGTAACTTTAACATGAGTGCTATTAGACTGAATGATTGAAAATAATTACAAACCCTTACTGACTATAAAAGCTTCATCCCACTCAAGGCTGCGCTGCTTTATTGAACATCAGCACAGCTATTGTTAGTTTTAGCCATACAGCTGTAGGCAGAGCCGCAAAGATAATCGTCAATTCTCATTATTACATGCACCTTGTCCCCTGATATTTCACAAGTTAGTGTTCACACAGGTCCTTATAATATTACGGGATTAAGTCTCATGATGTAAGGAATATAAATAAAAACTCTATTAAGTAAATATGTATTTAAAAATCACAGAATCCTTGCAGCAAGTAAAAGTAAGTACATTTTGCAGGATATATTAGACCAATTTTAATAGATATTTTTTTAAAAAGTGTTTTCCTCTGTTATTAAAAAAACTCCCATCCAAAGGTGAAAAATATTTCTCTTTCCACACAAGTTAAAAATTGCTAGAAATGCCTATATAAGCTTGCCAGACCAGTAGGTGGCAGTAATCAGATTGACATCGTAGAAGAACGCTGATCGCATTTGTATTGAGGGAGTGATATTTGTAAACAGCAGAAATGGCGAAATCAAGAAGAAATTCATGGACAAATAAAATTCTTGATTGTTTCACTGTGAAAGAAAGTGATGTCCAAAGTAAGGGATTTTACAACAGGCTACAACATGCCCGATATGTAAACATCAGCTGTGTTGTGCAAACTGAGGTAATAAAATTCAGCATTCCCCTAAACTTCTGTTTTAGATGTCCTTATGAAGACTGTCAAAACAGAGTTTAAAACTTTGAAAGATGTTCTCTAAAGACTCCATTTTCAGAGACCTTGAACATTGTTTACATGAGGACTTAAAGCCATAACACAGGGGGAAAACTTGTTCCAAAAATATCTGTATACCTGTGGAGAAAAGGGCTTTAGATACCAGAGGGACATTTTTATGAATGTCTGGTCAGGCATCAGCCATCAGTAAAAGGAGATCAATCAAATGTCAGTAAAAAAATGCATGTATATATATTTTGATCACACAGATAAGAAAATTAGTTTTTCTCCTCAAACACTGCCTTTGAGAATGACATTTAAAGGTGAAACAATTACAGTGACCAAAATGAGTTTCAACAAGAATATGTGTGATTTTTTTTTTTTCAAACGCAAACTTTTTCTTGAATTTTAGGACCCAAATCTGTGAAGGTTATGTCCCTGAATGAGTGCCATTGTTAGAAATAAGACTACACCGAGGCAATGTGTGCCACTGTGATTACGTTCATCTTTATCTTACTGTAACCTGAGAAATGGGCTTCAAATTCTTCTTCTTTTTTTTCAAATTAAGATGATACTGATACATTTTCAATAACAAATATGGAGAAACTGCATATTAAGGTGACGCAAAGTGGATTGAAGTTTGTTAATCAGCAGCTTCAGTGAGTCACCTTGCTCTGCTCACATTCACAGACTCTTAATCAACAGACATTACCAAAGCCAGCTGAACACATCAAACAAATCAACATTATTAATTGAGTTTTGTCATGATTAGATGTTTAATCTAGCTGCAAAAAGCCTCACATTAGAACAACGTTTAAAAGCCGTTTCACCATGCACTAGCCTGCTTGTTAGTGCCCTCTAGTGGACAGATTTGGCAACTGTTTCTATATTACCTCCGATATTCTGATTTGAAACTATAATGAATGATGCGCAACAAGCTTCATCAACTATCATTTACTCCAATTTTCAGTTAATACATTAGATTATTCTTACTTTAAACAGCTTTATACATCTTCACAACACTGCGGATCAATTATGAATAATGACGATAAGATGTAAAATTTAACAACCTGGCAATGTGTCATAGTTGAAACAGCCCTAGGTATGTTAGATACGACACAGAAATACGGTCAAAGTGATAAATTTTTAAATAATTACATTGACTTTAAGGTAATATTATTTGTATTTGTAAATAAATCGATGTAATATAAATCCCATTTGAAACAACATTTCCAACAAAGGTGAAAACAGCGGTGTTATTTATCAGTATTTACATTAGGAAGAGCAATGTCGTTTTAAATGGATCCATCTGGATTTAATTAAATGTTAATCCCGTTTTGAAGACGTTAAACTTCCCGGTACCGGCACAGCCTTTAACTTCACAGCGGCAGAGAGGAGCGCAAGACAGCTGGATGTGATGGATGAGAGCGAAATTTTAACACAAAAACAACAATAAACGGCTGATTTCCCCGACCGTAAACGTCTTATTACAACAAAACATGATATTATCAGAGCCAATAAAAATGTTCTTCATTTTAAGCTTAATACTCACAGAGAAAGAGAAGAAGAAGAAGCGGAGAGCTGCTGAACGATCCGAGAACAGAGTGAGTCAGAGAGGCAGAGACACACACACACATTAACACACTCACACACACACCGCACACACACACTTCATCATAAAGTGACTCACCCTGACGCGCTCTCTTCATTAGCTTATTAACACATTTCTAATGAAGTCATGTGTTTGCGGAGCTGTGCTTGAAGGATTTTATTAATAAACGCTTTGATTTACATCATTTTATGAGAATCAGCAACAGTTGTAAATACACAAATACAGCTCAATGACACATTTATGGAGCTATTAGCCTGTTTTTCCACTTCAGCCTGGTGCAAAAGGACGAAACCAACTAAAAATTTCATCAATAACATTTGTTCATCATCATCGCCATCATTATTGACATTATAAAGAGGTGCCTTCTCTGGGACAGGGGTGTGTCCAGTGGGGTGGACAGGTGGCAAAGGGCCACCTTGAAATCTGATTGGCCACCCCAAGTGTTAACACAAACTTTAAATCCATAATTGTCTATTGTCTTAGTCAGAGGCTGAACTTCAGTTAAAATCAAGCAATATTAGACATTTTACAAGAGTTTCAGACAAATTTTAGGGCCCAGGATGAGAAAAATTAGGAGAAGGAAGATTTTTTTTTTCAATTTTGCACTGTGAAACAAAACGGAAAATTTCGATAGTGTAGTTTAAGTTTCAATACAAGCATCTAAGTTATTTTTGAGAAAAAATGTTTAAAGTAAGTGTTGAAAAAACAGAAGTGGAGGAGAAGTCTAAGTTGTATTTTGAAGGGAACAAATAACTGAGAAAAACGTCTATTAAGAAAAAATCTTCATGGATTCCTAACCAGCCATAAAGGTTGCAAACTAGCCATGGCAAGAAACCAGTATACAGGATATCTCATTTGTTAACACTCTAAAGCAATGTCTGAAGCATTTGCCACTGACAATTTGGATCAACTTCTGTAGATCCAAACCCACTCTTCAGCCAGTGAACACCTGTGGAGTGGACACTGAAGTGGTGATATCATATAAATACCTAGGTGTACATCTGGATAATAAGTTGGACTGGTCTAAGAATATAGACTTCATCTACAGAAAGATGCAAGACGTCTGAACAAACTGGTGAAAAAGGCTGGCTCTGTGGTTGGATTCAAACTGGACTCAGTGGAGGATGTGGTGGAGAGATCTACACTGAGGAAGGTGGAGACTATCCTCAAGAACATGGATCACCCACTTCACAACACCTTGGTGGACCAAAGGGCCAATGGTGGTGGACTGTATTGTCTCTCTTCGCTGCAGGACAGAAAGATTCAGAAGATCTTTTGTACCAACAGCCACCAGACTTTACAACTCTTCTGTAAATAGTAGATGACTTTTAGAGACATATACCAACTATCAGGCAGCAACAGTTGGAGAGAGAAGAGCAGGGAGAGGAGCAGGAGGAGGCAGGTATGTGTATCCACGTGTGTCCGAAATGCAGTGTGACAGAATGAGCAAAATGAGGGCATAGAGATCATCAGTGGAGATCATCAGCACTAATGAGCTCACAACTGCTAAAAAGTGGGAGACATTGTTCCAAATTATGACAAAATACAAGCCAAGAGTCGACATTATGAAGCACATTTTATAAAAGCTTGGAAAGACTGAATGATTTGTTCGATCTGTAGCCTTGGATAAAATATAATGAGTAAAAGAGCCAACAGCCTTCTTTTTTTATGACAGTGCAATCGTACTTCACTACAGGTGGATGGGGTATTAAATTGAATGAGTATTAACTCCAGATTTAAGCCAAAGCTCTTGAAGTGAAATAAAGAAATGATGCACGGTCCCTATCAGTATTTGTACATGAAGTTATGATAATGAGGAAATAATAATCATAAAAAAAATGCCCAAACTCAAGGAGAAAAAAAACTATTTTTTTTCTGCAGGTATACCTAGTGTTTTTCAGGCCATTTTAAACAAAATAAAGTTTGACAATACCAAAAACTAACTTCAACATTTGGGAAAGATTATGATCTATTCTCGTTCATTTTGTGCTTTTTACAATCATCTCCTGAAACTATAAAGCAACATGTGGAGGATAAAAAATCACTTTTGCCTGAAAAGAAGCAGAAATTGTCTGATATTTAAAGGTAAAATAGGACAAGAGTCTTTAAATGGCATTAAAAATCCTGGAAATGTAAATGAAAATCAGAATAGATAGTTACAGATTTGAAGACTTAATATGAAACAGGTCATAGCTGCTGACATTGGACTAAAATGCTTGTTGGCTAGAGGCAGAAATGACTGGTCAGAGCATTGTTAGACACCCTAATTCTCCTCACAGGTTTCTCTACTTCATGAGTTATATTCATCATCTGCTCTCCTCTCACTATAGTTAAATTTAAGTGAAGTTTAGCCTTGAAACAATCATTTTCAAAGCTTGTGACTCAGATACAAATCCTGGAAAGCCTTGATTATCTCACAGCCGTGTGTAAAAAATGTGTAATTATGAATGAACTCATGTCACACCATAAAGAACATGAACTCTGTAACTTCAGTGGGTGCAAATACCACCAGCTTAAATAAGTGTGGTCGTACTTTTAGTGAGAAATCAGCCAGCTGACCGAAAAACCGTTGTAACAAAAATCTGCTTTTACTCACCGTTCGAATAACAAAAACTCTTACGACAATGAGTGAGTGTGTGACCATTTGTGTGTGAGTGCGTGGGATGAAAGATTAGTGTGTTTACGTTGGCAGGGTGAAGTAATTACTGTTCTTACTGTAGGTGGAGCAGCCAATATACACACTGCACACACACACACACACACACACACACACACACACACACACACACACACACACACACACACACACACACTGCAGATGTGTTCACTGTCTATTTACAGGAATAAAGGTTGGAAACAAAAACTTAAAAAAGGGGGTTTGGGTTTATTGTAAAATTTAATGCTCTTTTTTTCAAACTGTTCTTGTGAAATCTGTCATGTGACTTTGAGACTTCCCGTTCATGTCTAAATTGAAACTGACTTCACTCTGAGGTTATCTGGATGTTTTGGGGCGAGAGTCCACTGAAGGTAATGGAAAAAATCTCTCGCTCACATCTGAAAGTTATCAGCTGCCCTGACATCATACGAACACGGGACGTGATGACATCATTTGGAGAGAGAAAGAAAGAGAGAGAGAAAGAGGCTACATGAGGAGAGAGAAGTTGAACCACTTTCAGTCTGAAACACCCAAACATGAAGTCCTTTTAATCTGCTCATTATTATTGGCTAAACATGTTGTTAGTTTAGGTCCACACATCCACGTTTGCTGCATCATTGGTGATCTCTCTACATATTTGAACATTTGCTGCATGAAAGCTGGTCATAAAATCAATCTATATCTATTCAGACAGTGCCAAGTCATCACCAAAGACTACTATAAAAGGACAAGGCTACTGTACTCCTATCATATCATCATTTAAAAACAGCGTCTTGAGCAATTATAATGGCAAATAGTTTATAAATATAAGTTAATACTTACATTACCATTAATAAGCAATGAAATTATAATTAATAATTTTCATTGATTATTAATGGAGTATTTATTAAAGGATTATATAGAGTTTAAATGTTGGTTTTAAAACATCTAGATTAAAATGTGTGTCAGTAGCACTTTGTAAATTGTTAATATTTGGTTTTTAAACCATCTATAAACATTACTTAGATGGTAATTGTAAAGTTAGGATTAGGGTTAGGTTTTTAAAATTGTATAATTTACAATTTATTAATGGTCTATATGCTATATATAAATGATGATTAAACATGAATAAACTATCTGCTTACCATTAATAAAAGGTCTATTTACCATTTATAAGTTATGGTTATTGTAAAGTGTTACCATAATGTCCTTTGTGGTCTTGAGATGAACATGCAGTTGATCTTCGGGGCACCCAAAGCCCTTTTGTGAGCTGTTTCTCATAAGGACTTTGAAAGGGGTGCTGCAGCATTTTATCATTAACTTTTGTAGTCCCATGGTAGTTTTCAAGGTTGAAAATGGGTTAAAATTGATGTTGAACCAAAACAGAACATTTTTTTGGTAGACTAAATGTTTCACATACAAAGAAAACAGTCCATTGAAATATGGTGTAAGCTAAAATTATCACCTAATTTTCTCATGTAAAATAGTTACAGTCCAGAATCCTGTGTTAAGTATGATTTAACTAAAAGACAAAGACCTCTGTGTACAGGTACATTCAGGAACATACTATTAGCTTTGGAGACCCGTAGGTTAACTGTCACTCTGGAAGAGTATATGACTTTGCTTAAATGTCTGAAATTAATGGCTATTTTTTTTGTTGTTATATAATGAGGAACAACTTGAGTTGTGCTGTATAGCAGGAACCTTTTTTGATACCAATTTGATCTGCAGAGTCTGCAGGTAGAAAAGGTGGGAGGCAATTGTTACTGAGACGTAAAAGAAACGTGCAACTTTGAAATGACTGGGTAATGTGTTATTAAATCCGTGCACTGATATTTATGGTGTTGTGTAACCACTTTGTGCACATGACACAGAAAATATATATAATAATTCAATCAAATGTGCAACTCCTGCTTTCTGTATTGTCAAACATAAATGTTTTTGTCTTTGGTGAAACACCTGGCAAAGGGACTGCCAACGTGAATTAGCCCTCTTCCTAACTTTAGTCTCTTTATATTTGTTTGAATGTTAATTAGTGTACACTGTCCCTTTTTGAGTAGATAAATACATAAACAAGTGAAACATGATGAAATCATGCAGTAAATGATGCCACAGAAAATTTGTCTCATCTGGTTAAATCTTTTTATTTAAGAAAACATAGTGCACTATAAGTACAGTAACTGCAAACCAATGCAGAGACTTCAAGTATAAAAAATAAACAGAAAACACAAAAGTTTGAGAAAATACCTCAATAGGCAGTGTAAAAGTTCAGTCTTCACAGTGTTCAGTCTTCAAAAGTGTCGCTCTAGCTCCCTCCAGTGTTCACAGTGGAAATCAACTCAACATTCACTCTGTCACACAGACACATACAGCATGATCAGACAACAGTCAGAGCCTAAGACAAAAAACAAGCCTCTCTCCTTTGTGTAGCTTTATATGTCATTTAAACTGCTGAAAAAAAACTCAAGGTCAGAGTGAATCAGTTGAAATAGCATTACCAGATATGATTAAATCTTTGTGTGTTAGCTGTGCATGAAGCGTCTACGTGTGAGATGACTGTGGTAGCAGAACATAAGAAGAAACACAAAATAAGGAGCTGTCAGGACTGTTGTTTGTCAGGTTTGGAAAGAGTTCTGTAGTCTGAATCTGAGGCTGGTATCCATCACAGCTCTTCTCTAAATATGTGCCCCCATGAAGTTCAGGAGGTGAGCTGCATGGCTGATACTCCTGCTCCAAGGTCATCTTGTACGATGGGTTTGGAAATAAACCTCTGAATGGAGGTGACAGTATTCTTGATGTCGGTGGGATGTCTGTAGCGAGTAAAGTGGAGGGCTGTGGGACGCAGTTTTTCATAGGCAGGTTGTAGTAGCTGTTTAAAGGTTGCACAGAAGTATAAGAAATGCTCTCTTGGTCATAGTCCTCCACTGGAGCTCTTGCTGTTTGGAACAGCTCTGGGACATCCATGATATCTGCTTCACTGTGAAGATATGACCCCTCGTGAAGATAACAACCATTATTGACCTAGAAAAAAGGGAAAAAGACCTCATTATTATGGAAACATCTGTGATATTTTGATGTCTCTTTCCTGCAAACCAGCGATGAAACATAATGAGAAATACATGTAATATCTGCAGAACAAGCTCTTTAATTTAAAATATATATATTTCTGTGATTTATAACTAAATGCCACAAGCGCAAGGAAGTAAAAGGTCTACATCAAGGAAGAAGATCAAACCAAGATTTCATAGATTAAACAGTAAGATTACAAGAATAAAGTCTGATGAAAATCAACTCAGAATACAACCAGATTAAAGCTGTTATGCTGCGAAAACAAAGTTATAGGAACAAGATTTTCCTTATTCGTTAAACCTGTTCTATTGAAGAATTTCAGATACACAGTCTTATTCAGGTTTAAACTGGAGGCTGGCTGCTCAGCTGGTGTAACCCTCAACAGTGGCCGTAAACCAACGTCTTATCATGGACTAAAGTTATGGTTTACAGTTACAAAACTCAATCACTTTATTCACTGAAAAACAATGTTAAATTGTTAAAATGACTTTATGAACATAAAATAACTAATTTTTGCTCTCATTACATCATGACTTCATACTCATAATGAAACTGTAAAGGCCCTCCACTAACACAGAGCTTTTTATCGTGGACTTTCAAGCATAAATGTAAGAGCCTACCGTTGTCAACCACTTGTCTGTCAACACTGGCTTTGGGATCGGAGGATAGACCTTGTGTTTGATACTGTCGGATATAAGAAAGCAAGAACAATGTGTCAGACAGATGTCATGGAAAACATTAAAATAACTTTATCAGAGGCCAAGATTGGGCTCATGAGCTCATTAAAAACTGTAACTTTCTCACCATGACCAGTTTCTGTAGCAAAGAAAGGTGATGAGACAGAGGAGACAAAAGATCGACACCAATGAGATGGAGACCACCTTGATCAGCTCATCGGCTAGAGAGAAAATACAGCGATAAAAGTAAATCAAGTGATAAATGCTTTGGTAATTTATTGTTTTACTCCTTTTGCTCTTTTTGAGAGAGAAGAGAGGAAACTTACTCAGTGAGTTTAAGGTGGCAATGGTGACTGTATCCCCACAGTCTCCAACTGCTGTCATTGCCTTTACTGTGAAGGTGTAGGTGTCGATAGCAAGGTTTTTTGCCATCAGGCTGGTGGCATTAGGATTACCTAAACCAAGATAGAGATTCATGTTATCAAGAAACATCTTAAAGAAAACTTGAGAGGACAAAGAGAGGGACATATTCCTTTAATTCTGAACCTTTAATTTCTCCCAACACTGAAGTCATTCATTACAAAAACCCATAAATCATAACTTCTATCCTAACGCAATAAAACTCTTAAATACTGACATCAGTCGTATTTACATTCACTCACAATTACAGCTGAGGAACTGTATCCACCAACAGAGTTTTCTAGCATCTAGTTTTGAAACATAGCTTTCATCGTCAGCTTCGTACATGCAATAAGATACTTGGCATCAGCTCTTTTAATTTTGAACTCACAGCACTCTCTTGCTGTCCCTGTAACCTGATCCCTAACAAGTTGAAGAAAGTGAGTGGTTGGGAGTATGGATGGATGGATTCTAGCCATTTCAGCTCAAAATAGCCAAAGCTATGCCCTGATACCTTCATTCACTGTTTCATTTGTTGTTATCGTGCTTCATTTTGTAGTGTTTTATATACTTAGTGAAGGAGAAATAATGTTATCAGTTCAGTTTCACCGACCTGTGCTGACATTGCAGACGAGTCTGTTGTTCTTGTCCTCACCGTACAGAACATATCCTTGGATGAAGGCGCTTTGACTTGCTAAAGGTACCGGATCCCAGGATACCTGAACGTCTAAATCTAGCTGTTTGTACCTTAATAATTTAAACAAGCCATCCTTTATTCCTGACAGAGAGAAACATAAATGAAAAACTGTCAGAAAAAAAAAGTTTATTTATTAAAGTGCTAAATCATCTTGGCAAATGAAAAACTTACTTTGCTCCTTTACGTATCCCTCTCTTCTCTCTAGTAGGACTGGAGCTCCATGTGTGCACGCGTATACTGACAGAGAGTATCTTTGCCCATCTCTGAAATTTTCTGCATTCAAGGGATAAGAAAATAAGACTGACGCACAAGAACTCACTACATGAAGGTGTATTTGTGCTTCGTTCAAAGATTTAGACTAACTTGAAAAGATTTGAGCTTTTGTCTCATTTGGAGGAACTTTCAGCCACTCCACTCTGCAGCTCTCTGACGTGGGACACCAATCCACGATGTATCCACAGCCAGCTACAGGACTCGCAGACCAGGACAGCTCAAAGCCACCGTTGTTACCAAGGATCCGAGAAGTGTCAGCTGCAGTTCCGTCTGAAAAGAGACTCGGACATCAGCTTTACGCAATAGATTTTTGGATTGTTGTTAACAATACACACAGTCCTGCTCGTATCACACCTGGTCTGAGTCGTGGGATGGTGATGGTTGACGGGGATGAGCTGCCGTTTCGATTCTTTGCTGTCACAGTGACGATGTACTCCTCAGTGAGGTCCAAACTGAGGGAAACACTGTGATTGTCTGGACCGGTGTTGGCTGTACTTAAATGTTCTCTCTCTGTGGTCTTCACCCAGCTCACTTCATACTCAGAGATATTTCCATGACTCTGATTGGCCAACAGCTCCTGCAGAGAGGAAATAAAGGTTAGGTTGATGAAATTTCAAGCCACAAAGCTGTATCATGTCTGGGTTCATAACATCTGGTAAATATCCTGTCAATTATTTTTTAATGTGATATTATCATATTGTGAGATTTTGATAACATTAACATACCTTATACATATAAAACTAATCTGGTGCTCATCTGACTTACCTTCCAAACAATAAGAGTTTGGTTATCCTCCCTTCGCATCCACACATCCAGAGCATCTGGAACTGTGAGAAAAACCATCATTAGTTCACCACAAAGCTGAACTGATTGAACACTTTGGTTGTTGGTTTTTCAACACTTACCATCCCCCTTTGTGCGAAAGCTAAAGGTTTTGCTCCAGTTACCCCATTTCCAAAGATGTTGTGTCGTCCCACATCTTACTTCTGCACTGTAGATCCAGTTTGGTGTCAAATCAACCACAACTGCAGAACTAAGGCCGACTCCAGAAATATTAACCTGGAAATTAAACATGAACAACACCAGTATTAGACTGAATTCTTCGTCATTTTGAACTTCTGCCTTTGTTTCGCATCCATTACAGATTTCACAGCTGCAGACTGAAGCAATCAACCGTAGACATTGCAAAACCTTTTCCTCTTCGATGTCAAAATTTAGAAGGACAGAGCAAAATACCGGAATTACCCAACTACAGGGGTTCAGAAAAGGAACAGACCATAAATCTCCTCCTTTCGTTTACTCACCACAGTATTTGTTTCACCACTGCTGACATTTACTTGACATGTAATATCCAGATTATGATAGCCTTGCACTGTCCACTCCCATGTCAGGCTGACATTTCTGGCGTTCACAGCTGAAGCGGACACTCCCAATGGAGCAAACATGTGCACTGAAACAAAAGAGACAAAGCTGAATTTAAGGTTGAACACATACATCGAAAATCAAACAAGTTCTCGTTAATCGCAAAGTTCTTATTTTCTTTTACCTCTTTTCAACAAGTCCGCTCTGTCTGTCAGCACCAACTTCCCAAGTTTATTTTCTGCCGTTAACGTCCAGTTTCCGCTATCAGCGCCCCCCTCAACTTCTTGACAATAATTCCTCACAGAGCCCCTTGGAACAGGTCTGGAAACTCTTCTTCATGTCGTCCAAAAGGAAAAAAATATTACCGGCATGAAGATTTAATATTTTTAAATCTTGTTTTAATTTCCAAAACCAGTACAATACTAGTACCAGTACTGTATAAACAGTATTTTAAAACCCAGCAAGACAGTGACAAACCACATTTCTGACTTTTTAACCATTGAAAACATTTGGAGCATCATGATACAAAAGAATAGGCCGAAGGAGACCCTAAACTGTTGAGCAGCTGAAATCCTCTGTCAGGTAAGAATAGGACAACATTTCACTTTCTTAAACTGGTGTTCTCGTTCACTGGTGTCTCTGGTTTACAGAGTTTTGGATGTTCTTGTCTAAACTTTTATGAAACATTTTGCTGACATCAAATTTAGTATAAGCATATATTGTCCATGATGTCCAATATGTCTTCTTCTCACCATTTGAGATTAAAAATGAACTTTAAATTATTGACAACCATCAAATTCTGTTTTCATCAACATTTCACAGAGTCCCAGATCTGTCAGAATTGGTGTTTTGTAATAAAACAGTTTCCTACCTTCCATTTAGATAATACTTTGTTAAAAACTTGGGTAAGTGCAGGTGTGTATTCTTTATCTTCCAGCAACAATTGACTCTTTTCAGATCATGAGTTTCACACTGAAGATCATGGTCACGGGGCGGGTCTGAATCAAGGCAAGTTAAAAAAATAAAAATTAAAAAATATCCAGATTTACACGGTATGTTTAAGACAATTATACTGCAGACTATTGCGGAACACAATCATACTCACAGCCAACATAAGCACAAACACCGTAGTCAGATGACTGACACCACAGCCTAGTGCAGCTTTTGTCTGTGGGCCGATCCAGGATGACTGTCAAAATGTGCGTCTGATTGCTGATCATGGTCGTACCAATATTAGCATTTTCATGCCCGTCCAAGTACATTTTCTTTAGAGTCTGTCCTGCAGGCAGGATGCAGCAGAAGGTGGCTTTACTCCCAACCATGAAAACATTGTCTTTTGGGTACACCTGCGGCTCATTGGTGACTTCTTTTCCTGCAAACACATCACAATAAGACAAAGTCAGCATCGAAAGAAAGAGGTGATTACGAAACTGTTGGAGTTTCTTCTGCAATTCCACCTTCTGCGCCTGAGTCCTCAATTTTGACCTCTTTGCTTGTCTAGAACCCTGATCAGATAAGGGACAAAGATCTTCTTCACTTGGCTTTGGATCTTCAATCCTGCCATCCTTACAAACTGCATCTGTCTCTGTGTAATTTTTTGCATTACAAATCCAGTTAGTCTGCCTGTTGGGATCTGCATTTGGGCTTTTCCTGCACTCCCAAATTTGGCATAAAAATGTCTGATGATCAAAGTACATGGGATATTTACCAGATAGAGTTTTTTCCTGCATCCATAGGCTTGTATGGTTGTTGTATCGGAAACTGATCCTGACTGTATGAGACGCACACTCCAACGGCATATTCGATGTCCACTTCCAGGAGTGAGTAGATCCAATCTGCTCCGGCATCACGGTCACTTCATCCTGAAATCAGAGGTAGGTTTGTTTGACCATTTTAAATGCTATTGTTGCGGAAATAAGGATGACTTGAGAGTTCAAATCTCTTACGTGATGTTCTTCTTGATCTGCTATAAGGACCACCAGCTTGTAGATCAGCACATCTCGCACCGCTGAGCAGGAAGAGTCGTCTTCCCATGTCAAGAAGATTGTCTGGTCAGAGCTGTTGAGTTTCAGATTCTGGGGTCCACAATGTGTCACACCTTAGTTTAAAAAAAAGACAATAATTTCAAAGGATTTTACTCCCCAGCAGTTTGGATATTTACAGCCCTTGGCCTCATGTTTTGATTGTTGCAACTAGAATGACAAACAAGTACAAACACATCTGGGACTGATGCTGCTGCTGCTGCTGCTCCTTCACAGTCTGCTTCACTGCTGCTGATTTCTCTAACCTGCAGCAGTGAAGCAGAGTGTGAAGGCCAAGTATACACTCAAAGTTTTGTTTTTTGTCTCAGCAGGCTCAGGTTGTTATTTTGGTGTTTGGCAACATTATAAAAAGGATCCCTGCACCTCTTTGTTGGACTGGGAGATCTTCTAAACCATAAACAGCCAAAATGTTAATTGACACTCTACAAAGACACCAGACTCGATTGGCAAAAACAGTCTTTTTAGTGTTGGAGTTGTTGGTCTAGCTTAGTTGAGAAGTTTGCATTTTGTTAGAGACTTTTACACAAATATCTTGCTGCATGCAAATATTTTCATATTATATATTTTATTGCCAGCCCAGCATCTTCAAACTGAATTATCTTGGTGAATTGATTGTTTAATGAATTACAAAGATCCAACCTTAAGATGGGACAGATTTGACCCATCTCAACCAACATGAGTGACAGTGGTGAGGAAAAACTTCCTTTTAACAGGCAGAAACCTTGGGGAGGACCTAGACTCATGTTAGACAGCCCCCTTGTAGCTGCCGAGTTGGGAAGAAACAGGAAAAACCTGAAGTTGGTGCCAAGTCCTGCCGGAAAAATAAATCTGTACCTGAATAGTTATTCTCAACAGATGGAAGCATGAAGACCTCTAAAATTTCCTGATGCACTTAGGCTGTGCTGACTTTGGACTTGATAAATAATATAGTGGTTTAATAGTAGCAGAGGACATGGCACCTTAAGTCATCACAGACTGTGGAAAGTTCATGCTAAACTTAGATTCTAGGCCTCTCTGATCATCTGTTACACACTGGGACATTAATTTCTAAATGAGCTGCTAAATTTACTTGACAGTTGACAGTTGTTTGTGTTTGGTGGCTCTTGGTGCTCTGACTCCAGCCTCAATTTAAAGCTCCCCAAGTTTCTTGAATCCACTTTTCTTGGCACTTTTCATGCAGCTTGGTCACCTTCTCCAACACTTTTCCCTCAACTTTGCAGTTATATACTTTGATTTAGTCTAATTTTTCAGCTGTACCTGTATTTGTGCAAGTGGGTTTCCCTCGATTAATAAAGACACCAATTTGGGGTATGTGTTTTGGAGGACTTGTGGGTCTAGGGATTCAAATTTAAAAAGACCCCATCTGCAGGGCCATCTTGTGTTATCCCCTCATATTCCTGTAAATGTGTCTCTGATGATCTCAGTGGGACTAACCTGACTAAATTAAGATCTGATTTTAAAAAATAATAAAATATATCCCAATAAAAATTGTCTCTCTTAGATGAAGTTATCCACAACGCAGTCTCATCTACATATATATAAATCCGCTCTTTCAGTCACACGTATATTAGTGTTCTCTGTGTTTACAAATGTTTTTACCAAATAAGGTTGAACCCACTCCAAGTTCATTATTTCCTTATAATTTTTATGTAAACCAAAAATATTCAGTTTCTAAGAAACTTTCCACTAAGGGCATGAGAATTCATTAAACGTGACCTTGCAGATCCAGACCACATTATGTGTGTGTGTGTGTGTGTGTGTGTGTGTGTGTGTGTGTGTGTGTGCGTGTGTGTGTGTGTGTGTGTGTGCGTGTGCTCTATTTTAAGGCACAAAGACCAACAAAGTTCTCACGAAGAGCAGAGGCTGCCCCGAAAAGTCAAAGTGCATTTCTTTTTAGCTGTAATTGTTCACATTTTTTCACTGCTCCAGTAACTACAAGTCTGGAAAAACTTCTTCCCTCTGCTATGTTTACTTTCTGTGTGATGAAGAAAAAGGTAGACTACAGCGGGGGAAGGGCCAAGGTAAAAAAAAACTTAAAAAAAAAAAGCTGAAAGTGAAGGTTTCCAACATTCATCTCCATCTATGTGATAATGTAGACCCATGCTGCTCAAATATGAATAGATAGAAAGCATGCAATGGTTTCACTATGCAAATGTTTACTCATGAAGACAAAGAAAAAAGAAGAAAAATTGAGGTGAGCTGGAGAAAAACAGAAAAGGGTTACTTTAAGGAAGTGTTAATTGTATTAGTTTATAAATGTACACACTTTTTGCTATTTCTGCTAAAGGTATAACCTTTAAATTTTTTTATTATTTATTGATTCTTTCTCTATTATTTTCATGTATTTATCTTCCGTTTGTTGCATTTATTATATAAGTATTTGCTTTTTTGTTAACAATTATTTTCTTTACCATCTTAGCTATTATTATTCATTAGTAATCTTCCACTACTTTTATCTTCATTTATAGCTTATATTTGTTTATTTTGTCATGCTTGTTACATTAGAGTAGGTTGGTGGGTGAATGAAATTTGTTGTTTTGGTTGTGAAAAAGAAAGTATTTAAAAACTAACAAAAAGTCATGTATAATTTAATCACTTTATGCACATTACATGGTTATCTCAGCCTGTAACTATTTTGGGTTATACATTACAGAAAGATGATATTTATATTTGTGTCAGACAAATTTTTAAGCAGCATTATTTAATACATAGTAACAGAATTTATGTTAAATACAAGCAAGAAACAGTTTCAGATGTAACATTCTGTGTTGCTGATCATTTTAAAATGTCATTAATCTTGAGTCTTGAGAGTTTTGGGCAGTGGTACACCAGCAACTCCCATGTTTGTCACACTTGGACACACAATGGACACACTTTTAGTCAGAGGAGTTTCTTAATCTGAACCCGTCCACTTCGAGTTGACATACATTGATCAGACACTTCCTCCATAAGTATCATGCTGCAGTCATTACAACCCATTTCAAATCTGCAGACTGAAACAATCTGCTTCAGTAAATCCAAAGACATTTTGGGATATAAAAGGAGATGAAATAAGAGGAGGGAATTCCCTGCAGGTTTTTGGCCAAGATGTTTGCTGCCAAATTTGCAAAGTGACCCGGTTTGCTCTCACTCTGTCTCTTCATTGTGCCAATGGCATGTCAGCTATGTGAGTTATGAAAAGCGAAAAGAACTTGTCTATCTTATTTATAACATTAACTGGAATGGAAATCAATCACAATCATGTGCTAATTTAAATGTGTTAAAAAGATCTGAAAAGAAGAGTGGTTAGAGTTTTATTGTAATTTTATGACAGCATTCTCATGCTATTAATACCAGAACATTTCTTAACAGCAGGCTTTATGCAGTGAAAAGGAGATATACTCACTATCTGCTTTTCCAGTTTTATCTTCAGAGCTCCCACAAAACAGTGACACCAACAGTAATAACCACAGGATCATGGCTGGTTATGGTCCTCGTTTGATTTGTTTGTTTGTAGTCTTTTCACTCGATACCTATAGAAATAAACAACTGCTATAGTGACAAATAAATTCCAGGTTCATTCCCAATAGAATATCTTCCAGGAGGATAATCTCAATACTCACATGAGAAAGTCTGGTTGTTTGTGTCAGCTCTGGCACAGCTAAGTCTTGCGTCTGTGAGGGCTGGGAATCAAACGTGAAAAGAGTCAGAGTGTCAAGTTACAGAAAAACTCCCTTCCAAAGAAGTGATGATGCATGTTTTGAGGAATCCATTTGTAGCTGGAGTGCATGCTGTTGTGAAATCCACGTGGACCTCAGGAAGCAGAGAGAAAGCCAGCTGCTGGTAATTGTGAGTCACAGCCACCAGAGCAGACTTGCACGTCCCACACTCAGTGTTTTTATTCTTGGAAACGAATCCACAGAAGCTGGCCTCAGTTTCTCTGGTCCTTAACAATGCAGACAAACCCCTCAGTAGTTAATTTTCTTGAGTTATAGTGCCAGCAGAGGAAGTCTGGGATTTAGAGGGTGTTTTACCAAAACTAAACATGTCTAATCTGGAGTGCTGGTAATATTTCCTAGGAAGTGAAAGTTCAAACAAAGGTCAAATTCCTCTGATTTGTTTCCTTTTTTTTCGGTAAGGACAAGCCTGTGGATTTGGATGAGGTTAAATGATGCCAGTTTGGATCTGAAACAAACTGTTAGAGATCCCATACTATGATAAACACAGTTTTCCTTGCTAATACACTGATACAGGAGAGTCATCCTCCAGCCCTAAGAATGTGGGAGAGAAACAAACTCTTCATTGTGCAGCGCTGGCGAAATTATTTTCATAAGCACAGATACAAAGTCACTCCCAGCCCTCCCACTCCTCTGAGTGATTTAACTTCCTCCCACGCTAGTGAGGTGTTGCATCAAATCAAGATGTCAGAGGTTAGAGCCAGATGTTCGATTCCTAAAACTTACACAAATATCTATAACCTGTGACAGTGTCGAAAGACCAAAGAAATCAGAGGCTGCTTTTTATTTTTAAGAACAAGGAGTCAACATCAGTTGCCAAACTCTTAACCCCAGGCTGCCTCAATAACCTCAAAAAAGTAGGAATATATTCAAACTTTACAAACCCCAATTAATTTTACATGAAATCCAAACTTCGCTCGGTTTGGGGTTTGTAGCTCAACACCCAAGGACAACATCTTGGGGCCACATTCTGGATCATGAGTATAGTGCACCTGCCTGGGTTCTCCTGGAGGGCTTGCCAAGTTTTTTTGGTTTTTATGTACGCATCTGTCTACACCTGTCTCCCTCCTTGCATCCTCCCTCCTCAGAGGACATTCATGTAGCCAATCAGTGCAGCACTTAATCATTAAAGCATCCCTGCCAATTAAGATCACTGCATGAATGATAATGTAAGGAACTGGGATGAGCTCTATTATTGCTAATACCTCATTAACAGCACACATGTAAGTTTAAGGTGACAATACTGTTTTGGTTGGCATGGCAACTTCCCGTGCCTGGGATGAGGACATATAAGTGGATGTACCCTCCATGACATCATTAGTTTGAAATTACCTTAAATTAGCATTTTTAGGACAGTGTTGGCCTTTGTTGGATCTGTGTTATGTAACACCAGAAAAGATAATGGACACAGGATACTTTCAGTTTGTTCTTTTTATCTGGTGAAACTATCGCACCATCAGTCCTAGACCAAGAGACTGAGGATCAGTGCCATTCCCAGGAGAGGAGTCTTGATTGTTTCTCATCAGCTCTAATGGATTCCCTGCAAACAAAAAAAATGTTGGCCTAAACAGGTTTTCAGTGTCAACAAACAGTTCATCACGAGCTCCACTGTACTGCTGAGACAGGAAAGCTGGGAATCTGATTGGACCTTTGCAGGTCAGCTTATCAAAAACACAGCCTCTGATTGGTTAACAGACTAAAACAATGATGATAGTTTTTAAATCGCACGGTCAGCTTCCAAAAAAAAATGACAATATTGTTATATATTATTTGAGGGATTTGATCCAGATAGATAGAAAAGCCCTTGATGTTGTAAAACACACTGAATCTATCAAGATTTTACGGGAGGATAGCGCATTATATTGTACTATTTTCAGGACCAATATTGAAGACATAACATTTCCATGTTGGAAATAACAGTAAATTGTACCACTCCTGTCTTCTGTGTGTGGCAGGCAGCACCTTGCTGCTGTTGAATGCAGCTCTCCCTCCTCCTCTAACCCCTCCCTTCCCCTAATCAGGTCAGCTGCATAAAAGGCAGCAGCTCACCTGTAGTCGGCCTTCTGATCTGCTCAGAGTGCTGGTGAGTAGGGTGGCTGGTAACTTTTAATCCTTAGAGTTTTATGATTGCTTTTAACAGCATGTCTTTTTTGTTTGTAGGTGGTAGACCTGCTGCTGTTTTGTTGCCCCCATTAATTGTAGTTATTTTTGCCTGTTTACTTTGATTGTTTCTGCCCTTTTGATTGGTTTCCCCCCTTACTTGGTTTGTTTCTACTTCTAAGTTTGGTTGTTTTACACAGTTACTCCCCCATTAGTTTGCATTCTGTTCTTAGTTACCCTTAGTTGCTTTTCTCCTTAGTTCCCTCTAGTTTTACCAACTGGGTTCGCTGGTTTGTTTGTTTCTTTGGTTAATCCTTTTATTTTATTTCAGAGGTTGAGCCCACTAGTTTGGGAGGCTAGGCACCCCGGGTGAGGGCCCTCCACCTTTGCATGAGTTTGACACCGGGTCACAAGACTACACCGATTTTGTTTCTTTTGTTGAAGGTTTGCAGTGTGTGTGCTGTGCTTCACTTGGTGAGTATAAGGGAGCACCCCCTGCACTTTCCCTCTGTAGTCTGCCTCCCTTCTGGTGGCCTCAGCTTATCTTAAGTTAACTTAGTTTGGGTTTCTTTGATTTAGTTTAAGTTGGGGTTATTGTACTTTTTAACTTTTGTAGAAGGCCTTGTTTTAAATTTTATTATAGAAATAAAATTAACTTTCTTGCCCCTTATCTGTGTTTTTGTTATGATGTTTTAACTTTATCCCTTTCTTTCCCTCCTAGGTTAAATTTCTCAGTTATATTTACGTTTAACTTCATTTTTTTTGATCTAATAAATATTTTGAACTCTGTCTCTGCCTCTTCAGAACTTACCTGTGTTGCCTTATTCTTATTTTAGCTTCCTGTTTTAGTTTGAAAGTTCAGTTTCCTGGGGTGCAAGTCCCCAGGTGGCGTTGCTGGTTGGAGACAATATTCTCTATTTTTGAATAAAATAGCACCCCCTTGCCACATGTGCATCATGAATTGACTCCCTGGCTGTTATATTAGCTGAGTTATGGAGTTTCAGGAGTGTTATATTTCTTATCTTGTGTCTCAAACTTGTAGATATTATTGTATTTTAACCATTGCTCTGTGGAGCTTGACTGCATATTGTACTTTATTTAGCAATTTATTGCTGATCCTGCTGATCTGTGAGTACTGACGGGAATGTGTTTGTCTACTGGCTGCTGTTAATGTCTTGCACTTGTCTGATTTGTTTGTCTGCTGATCTGATCTGTGTGATTTTTGATTTGTGCGTTTGGAGGGCTCAAACGACAGGGTTACTGCGAACGGACTTGGCCTTGGGGGATAAGTAAAGTTGTCTGAATCTGAATCTGACTGCCTCTATTTAACTGGAAACATAGAGCTGACTTAAAGAGGGTGGTTCAGTCTTGGTAGAAGTGGTCAACATCTGGAACCAGTTCTTGATTCCCATCCCTTAGTCATGCCCCAAAGCTGTATCCTCCACCAGCCTCTTTTGTGATGGTTTTTCCAAACTGCTTCTTTGGATCCAGACAAAAAAAGAAAAAAAATCCCACAAAGACATGGACAAACTAACTGAAATGTTCAATGCAACAGATTTAACCTCAGTTTTTAATGTGGAAACCAAAAGATCCAAACTTCCTTTTATTACTTAAAAGGAAGTACTCCTCTCAGGCCAAACCTTTACAATCACAGCTTGATCTGATGCCAGGTACAAGTACGATAGCATGTACAGTCATGAGGGTTCTTGTGAAACTCTTAGGAACATGTTTATTTACAAAAGCTCTGAGGGGTGAAGTCAGAGAAACTGAAACCGAGATTTCAGACGAGACTATGACTCAGTCTTCTGCTGGCAGACAAAGCAGTAAGAGGGTCAAACAGTGGTTAGTGGCCAGCTGTGGTGACACTGATATTCACAGGTCTGAGACAGCACTCAGGAAGTTGTGGGCACAGTGGGTGCTACTACACCCGTAAAAGTGACAGTGAATCACGTTGCTTTTGTTCTGGGGGATATTTCCGTTTTCTTTGTGGGGGAAGTCATTTTCATAACTTCATGACACTACAGAAAAAAGTGGTGTTTTATTCCCATAGTGATTGAACAATAACACATTTTCAACTGTTGACATTGTTTCCTAATGTGACCCAGATTAGCTTCCTGCGCAGACTGGTGTCTTTCGCAAACATTTTCAGTCTGAAGTCTGGGTAAATGTTAATGAATGGAAATAAGTACATAGTGCTAAGAAATGAATAATCCACCAGCTGTTGCAACCAAAAACTTAAGGGCTTGAATATTTGGGTTGGCCTGCACTGCAGTGTCAAATCTTAGTTAGGGCTTTTGTCTTATTCCTAGTAAATACTGTAGCAGTGACAGCAATTGTAATAATGAAGCTGGGGTTAATAATGGAGGGTATGAATCAGAACAATTAAAGCAGAAGGAGTCAAAAAGTTCGACAATTAAAACACTTTCAAAAAACTTTTTTTAACACTTTTAAAACAGAGAGACTGATGCTGATACATGAACATCAGTTTTGTGACGGTGTAAAAATGGAGAAACTAATGTTAAAAAGTAACACAAGTTTTATATACAGAAGATGAGACGCGGTGCTGAACAGTGTCTTCTTCTGAAAAGTCGAGTTTAAGTCAGACCAATGCAAGAAATCAGTGTTCTCAACATAAGTAAACATGCCAATCATTTCTCTGAAGGGCTATTGCACTTGTTTTTCACATCAAAAATTAGCTCAACTTTAAAGCCCTGAGGGACAATAGAGTTCAAAGTAAATCTGTCTGTACAGTTTGAAACCCTCCTGAGAAATTTGGTGTTTACATGACCACAAATCTGTTCCCACAGCCTAAAAAATGCGATTGTGTCCCATAAAACCTTTACCATATAGAGCAGAAACATCCCCACATTTGGTGCACCAGTTCGCCCTGCTGTCCAGAGAGGAGCGTCTACAAGTGGGAAACCCAATCCTAATCTGAAGCCTCTTTCCCATCAAGTCACTCTCACTCCTAGATTCTTGCTCTATCTACCCTTTACCTTAAAACATGTCCACATTCCTTGAAACTGTGCCTGTATTTTATAAACCGAAACTGACAGCAGATGAAAGCGTGACCATAATTGATCAAACTGTTACCGATCCCTTGTGCACAATTCACGAAAACATACCAACATTTAAAGAAATAATCCAAAATGTATAAAAAACAGCAAAAATCTGAAAAACTGTTGTTAAAAAAAATGTTAAGGGGGAAAAAATAGAAACAAGAACTCATCATTAATAGAAATATTTTTACCTTTTACAGATACATGCTGACAATAAAGCATGTTGCAGTTGCAATTAATCATAAAATAAGCTGACATCATACAAAAACATGCTGACATGCTGAACGTGAAATCAAAACATGCCAAATATATTTCAAAGGCATACTAGGATAAAGAAAACATGTTATCATGTTAAATGTTTAAAGACATGCAATCTGCTTATAGAAAGACATTGAAATTTTGATTAAAAAATGCTGAAAATGTATCAAAAACATGCCAATTTTATCAAAATGCATCAATTTTGTAAAAATATATCAGCATTTTGTCAACATGGGGCTTGAAGTAAAAGTACACAAACAATACCCACATTTTTAGAAAAAAGGAGCCTGTTAAAAACACTGTCCTCATTTTACCAAACCATGTCCACATTCTTGGAGACAGTAGCCATATTGACTAAACTTGCAAAAGCAAAAGTACAGATTGTAAGAGAGGTTTTCGTTCTCTGCTGAGACTTCTTCCTAAAAGATGAGATTCTGGGTGAGCTCTGATCATGAATGCATTTACACCTGTCCCAGAGAACTGAAGTTTTATCTGTTTTATCTCTTGTCTTCACCTGTCTGATAATAAGAGGCCTGATAATGTAAAACTCTAGGTGAATAAAACTGCTTCTGTTTTCAGGAGTTGCAGACAGGGCTTTAGAAAGCTCAGCATTTTATTTGAGGGGAAGTGTCAGATAATGGAAAGAACAGACGATCACATGCTTCCTGATATTATGCAATATCCTGCAAGACAATCCTCCCAGTCTCATCAGTGAAATCTGTTAATTCAGCATCATTACATCTCCTCCGTTAAACACTCTATTGATGATCTTATACATGATTCGATGCTCACCGGTCAACAAAGTCAATCTGAAATCTTTATGTGAAGAAGATAAAGTGTTGAAAAAAAACTGCATTTAGTTTTACAGGTTAAAAAGTGGTACAAAAAGATATCAAACTTTGCAATAGTTGAATGATTACATAATGATGATCTCTTCTGTGAGATTTGATTTGGACTCAAGTAAATCTCAGTAGTATGGGCTAACTTTCAATGGAGAAATCAGAGCAAACTTTGGAACTACCTAAATAAAGGTTTGGATTGTTGCACAGCATGTCAGGGTGGTAATATGTGCAAGAAGACGCAAACACCTCCATATAAACTATCAGAACAGCGTTCAAGGATGCCATGAGACGTCTTATGAAGACTGTAGGGATGGAGAGTGTGCATAGATATGAAATAACACAATTTAATCCATACCAACTAAATGCACAGTAAGAAACAGTTGTTTAAAAACATTTGATGGATCTGCATCTCAAAGCTCTGCAGAAGCCATTGAAAGTCATAGAAGTCATTGTTTTACAAAAATATCACTCTTTCTTGGGTGTAGATTGTCAGATCGACTTACTCCCTCCCTGTCCCTGCTCAAGGCCTTAAAAAATAAAGTGCAAACAGTCCATCTTTATTTTGAGAGGGTTGTTCGCTTTTGTAGGTCATTAAGACGCATCAGTTTTGATTTCACTCTGTTTCATAATCCCATAAAAATGACTCACAGACGCCTCAAACAAGAGCTAATATGCTGCGACTCAGAGATGCAAAATCTGTGTGTAACACTGTTCTTAGTTTATTCATTCAATAGCATTGATCATTATGAGTCTGTTCACATTTATGACATTTCCATGTAACCTTAGATTGGCTCGATATAAAGAAAGCAGACATATGGCATAAAAAAATCTGTAATCTCAAAGTTAATGCAAAAGCATGAGGGCCTTGTAAACTGTGTACAAACCAAATGTCTTCAATATAGCAACAAGTTTGCGTAGTTTTAGAATAATGTAAATAAAAAAACCTTGAAACACGGACCTGCATTAAAATTTGACTGATAAACTGTAAACTAAAACTTAATTTACATGGCGATACCTGGAGATTTTTCCTAAAATCAGATCATTTCTTCTTCTTACAGTAAGATGATGTATTAAATAATAACCCCTATCCCTGTACCATGATATGTATTGAATCATTATATACATTATTTGCCACTACACTGTCCTGGTTTAAAAGCATAGTTTGGCTCTTTGAAGGTGTGGTTGTATGAAGTATTTGTCAGTAGCAGGTATATTGTTCACAGAGGATCCTGGTTAGCTCAACCCGGCTGGTTTCTCAAGGCTGAGCTGACTGCCATCTCCATTGTGGATTTTACACCGACTTTTAACAAATATCTTATAAAACCACACCTCAAAAAACTGATCTAGATCTTTTTAGATTTTTTTTTTTTTAACAGAGAAGTAAGGCACGGATGCACAAAGCATTTTTTTTTCAACATTTCTAGATAGACTTAAATGACTGAGAGGTTTGATTTCAGCACATGATTTGTAGACAATAAAATGTTAAATATCAACAACAGAGATGATCATAGTGTCTGAACTAAAGGATCTGTAAAGTCTGTGTTCTTTGTACCATAGAAGGAGCAGTGGAAATCATATAAAGTGCGTAATGATGATCAATAACATACTGAAAAAACAGAAAACCTTCTCAGACCACCAAATGGAGCTTGTAGACAAGTTGAGGTACAAAGTCCAGTTTTTCAAAATCTCACATTAACAGCAGGGTTCCCAGGGTGCGAGTATATGGGGGTGCAGAGGCATTTTTCTTCCTCTGCGCTGAACTTTTGTAAAATAAACCAATGCTTATAAACAAACACCTCAAAGATTATTTAAAATGTTTTAGTTCAACTAACAAAAAATGCCCACAGTGCGGTCAAATATCGATTCATACATTACTTTCTTGTTTTTTTTACTCTGACCACTTGGGTTTATGAACAAGCCTTGAGGCACACCAGGCTAAGTGGTTTATATATGGGCTCTTATGCACTGATCTGCCATGACATTTGGACCATTAACAGTAAAGTAAATACCATTATGCTGTCAATATAGTACCTATGACCGAGTGTGAGGATACAAGAGAATTTGATGAGGACCAAACTGTGAAGGTTGGTTGACTGGGTCAGAGTGGATCGAGTACTGCAGCTCTTGTGGGGTGTTACCAGTCTGCAGGGTCAATATGTTACGAGAAGTCAAAGCAGGAAAACCAGAGGCAAGATCAGCGATGACAAAGACTCACAGGAAGGAATGAGGACCAGATAAGGCATGACAAAATATCCCAACACTATCCAGAAGGCCTGGAGGTGTGTTTTAAAAATCAAGTAAAATATCTTAGTGGTGCAGCAGTTGTAGTTTGGTTCTCAAACTTTAAATTAAAGTTCTTAAATATTCCTTAAATGTTATTTTAACTGTAATAAATAGCCAAACTGGCTTTATAATTTAAAGGCCTGTGGTTCATTACTCATTCCCAAAAATAAAATAAAAAACTTTTTCACAGATGCACCCTGGGTATTTCTGCCAGTTCAGACTCTTCAGAGTCATGGGTGACGTTTGCAGGAGTTTCACAGTTTGGCTCTCGGCGTTTGTTCCAGTAGAGTCCTCATGTCCAGCAGAGCGTTCTCCACAGCCTGAAACAGCTGAGCGGCGTTAGTTTCCTTACAGGCGTTAAAAGACGACATGGCGAAGTTGATGTGATCCTCCATGGGGTTGTAGCAAACGCCGTATCCGTTTGGTACCACAGGGCCGAAACACATGACGCAGTCTGCCTTAGATGGAACCTTTAAGAGGGACATAGATTTAACACTTGGTTCTCAAATAAGAAATAATTCATTTCGATCTGCAAGGAAAATTCCTGTAATCATAACCCTTATTTTTGTCTCTGACCCTCTCCTCCTACCTGACTTGTGGACAACTGGTAGTGTAAGGCTTTGGCGTAGGCGGGGTCTGTGAAGAGCTCAGGCATGGAGAGTTTCTCCTCTACAGACTGAAGCTTCAGGCCCAGCAGGTGTCTGTCGATGGCCTGGCCACTGATCGCCTGCAGAGGGAGAAAATAATCTTTTATTTATTCATGTTTGACATCAGTCTCACACTATCCAGTATTCATATGCACTTTGTCTCTATCTCAGATCTTACACACTTTAACTTTAATTTTGGGACAGCTGTTAACAGTGACGATTGTATTAATCATTAAAAAGTTGAGTTGTAATTTTCGTCACTGTCTGTGGTTGCCACTGGAAAGGGAACTAACAACATACTGAAAGTAACACAACACGAAACACTTGTCTGAGAAACACCTTATATTTGACTGTTAAGTTATTGTTGGTATGTTTTTTCTGTTTCATTTTAAATGTATGTATATGTGTGAGTGTATGTATACATGTAGACAATGTATTAATATCCTATACAGTTTGTTTTTATCTCTAATGTAATTATCACTATTTCCCTTTTACTCGTCCCTTTTTTAGGGTTGCAGTGGAGCACAAATTTCACAAATCAGTTTACATATTAACCAAAAAAGTGAAAAAGAGACTTCTGAAACTTTTCTACACCTTACTGTTCTGGTTATATCCGTACATTTAATAACCCAACACATCACATTGACCCTCCATACATCCCAATAACAAAGCTTTCCACTGTCATTCACTAAGACCTTATTCAACAAAGATCAAGTTATTTCACAGTATTGCTCTGATTTTACTTACTCATGAGCTTTAACTTAAAAAAAACAAGATCATCTGACCCCAATCAAGACTAAATTTCATCTTCTAGTCATCCAGCCGTGTGCGTCAGTGCTCCAGCTGTGAGCGCATGCATACCATCATGATGTGTTTTTGTTCTCATGTTTCCGTGAACTGAAAGCCCTCGTACCCACTCTGCTCTGCTTGTGTTTTAGGATTTTTCCTCTGCATGATTGTCCCCACTCTCAGTGTGATTCCTGTTCGTTTGAGCGTTTCTCTGACAAAGCCACTCAGAAAAGAGCAGCATGGGGTAATATGTTTCGGTAAAATGCAAGCTGTCTGTTTCATTTCTCCATTTGAAAACATCTGCTGGGTGTACAAGCAGGTAAAAGCCAAGTGCCGAAGTTAATCAGGACATTTATAGACTAAATGATTTTCAGTAAAAGAGCTCAAATCCTTCAGTATTGTGGCACGCTGTAAAAATACTTTAATACAAGTGAAATCTGATTTTCAATTTAGTAAGTGTCATCAAAATTAAGTCAAGGTTCTTTCAGTGAAGAGAGGATTTAACGCATGGTCTGTTTAGGTAAGAGTACATATGACGTTTGAAAGAAATTAGGCTAAATCATCCAATCAGATAGACGTGGTTATGTAAACAGAGAGGTAGGCCAAACAGCTTATTTTACTTCTTATTATGTTTTTAAAAAATTAAGAGTTTTTAAGTTTCAAAGGGGCTTTAAGTAACACACATGTTTGTGATGCAGATGTGAATTATGGAATTAAATTTGTTATAATCAGAATATCAATATCAATCAAACTATTTAAGATGATGAGTTTTGCCATAATTACCACAATGCTGCCACTACTGTTTTCTGAAGAAGCCCATCATGATGATTGCCCTTTTTAGTGCAGCAAAGTGCAGTTAGTTACAACATTTTCATTGTTTTGCCAATGGAATTGAAGCCTGCAGCCCAGCCGAGGTAAATGCCATTAGACACAGCCCTATGAACACAATTATGATATATAAGGGATTACTGTGATTCGCTGCATCACTATTTACTTTTAGTCTTTTGAATAAAACTGTGTTGAGGTTCAAAAAGCATAAGCCGACAGATATATTGAAGGAGTAGTTGCAGCCACATCTTTGTCATATCACTCTGCCTTGTTCGGCTTCCCCATCAAAATGAGGAAGATGAAGGAAAGCGGGAGGATAAGGTTCATAATGAATATTTGAGTCAGGTCCAAACGTTGCACATGCTGCTAATAGGTAAATAGCCTACAATGATATAACATTTGTCTAGTTGCACGCACTACATTACAAATTCACTCTTTCTTCAAGCAAATTGTGCATCTAACAGGTGATATTTTTTGGCAGAGAATGAATCCAATTCCAAGAGGAATCTGAGATTGAGTCAAAATGATCTCAGAGTGCTCATGGCTTTGAATGAAAATTAGAAACAGTTTCATAAGACTTGTCCCTCAGTCTCTACCGATCTTCATGCTGTTTGTGCTCACCATGTTGGTGTATGATCTGTGTGCAGTCACGGCTTTCACCATCAGATCCACTTTCTCTGTGTTCTGAGACGAACAGGAAGAAAACACACAGTTACACATATACTCAAAGACACACAGTATTCAAATCCTGTTGGAATATTCACTTGACACTTTGTGAGTCATCCAGAATTATGTCTCCTTATCGTCACCCCGGCTTGTTATCTGCTTTTATCTTTTTTCTGACGCCTGTTTCAGCATTCTTGTGCTCTATCATCCCACATCTCTAACAGCTTTAAGCCCTTTTTTAAAGAAATAAATAAATTTCAAAACCAACTGACCTAAATGAACTGAAGTACCAAATATCAAAACTGATGCAGTAGAAAAACAAATCTACTCCATGTAAATGCTCCCTGAGGTCAAACCTGTTTGTTGGGGTCATCAAAGCTTTTGACAAAGGCGGCTGCGGCGTTCGAGGCTGATCTGATCGTGTCTGTTCGACCCAGTCTGAACATACGCAGGGAGGCACTTTCATAAGTGGCACAGCAGCGCTGGTACATCCTGCAGACACAAGAGGAAACAGGACATATGAAAAATATGAAACAAACTCTGTGTTTGAAAACCAGGAGTCATCAGGACCCGTACAGATGACACCACTTAGAGGAAAAATAAATCAGGGTGCTCTCAAATCTCTCCTTTTGGGTTAAGTTAAAACAAACTCCAGTCTGTTTGCCGAGTCAGTGCAGTTTGTCCACGCTAGTGTTAATCAAACCCTGTTGCAGACTAAACATTCTTTCATCTTTCTTCTTCCAACCTGCTGCCTTTTAGTAATATAATAAAGGTAATAAACATCTAGCGTTTCTCTCACACAGACTTGAACTGGGCATCAGCTCCAGGTATATTAGCAGTCAATTTAGTTATCTTAATTAAACAAATGTACACATTCCCCAATAACAACATAACAATATATCTTAAATATTGCTCTGTGTGCGCTTGTGCGGTTGTTTCTGGATCTCTACTGTTAAATTTCCCCTTCTGCTCTTGATTTAGGTCTGTTAAGTTACTGTTACCCAACTGTGAAGTCACCTTTAGTTTGGACTGTAAGGAGCCTACACAGACAGCCCCGCCCCCAAGATAGTTTTCAGCATCTCACCTGTAGTACCCCAGCTGTAGAGCGACCTGTATGAAGGCATCAGGACTCATCTTGTGGGACTTTGGGACATTTTTTCCAAAGTGTCCAAACACTGTGACCCTCATATCCAAGTCGTCTGCAATGCTGTGAGGGAAGACAGGGCCTGTTTAGTTACACTGTGCAGAAATATAATTACACTGATAGATTTAAACTTCACTCTCACGTGTTCATGTCCTGTTTGGCTTCTTCAATGTCCTTCTTAATCTCTGGCGTGATGTTGAAGTGAAGTTTCCGGGGCATGGGCAGAGGCACCATGGGAGACCGAGTCATCTCTGGCTTCCCCCTGTGACCACAAAGGAGTCAGGAAAAGAGGAAAAAGGAGAGAAAATCAAAGATAAATGAAGTGAAAACCAAAGAAATACACGCTGTTCGCTGATTTGGATGATTTCTTTTAGCCTTTCTCTTGTTCTCTTTCAAAGATGTTACACAGAGGAAAAATCAAACTAGAAAAACTCCTCTCTGACCTACTTACGTGTATTCAACAACATGGTCGATCAAGGCCACTATAGGCGGGCCCTCAGCTGGAGCGTGCTCATAGTTTGCGCCACACGTCCCGTCCTCTCCAACAATGAACTGAAGAGAAAAACAAACACTTATAAAAAGTGCCAGTGCTTATCATAATGCACTTACATTTTGATCATTTGATCGTAAAGCGTTTCCCCTCAGCTTTACGTCTTTCAAGGAGGTCAAAGTTATGCATCAAGTTTTTATTAACAAACTAATATAATCATACTGATGAGGTACATTAACAGATCTAACTCCATGTTTATCTTAAGACTTGTTCCCACAACAGCTGAAAAAATTATCCTAAATCTTTCTAAAGTTTAACTCAGCCATGTGTGTTTTTTTGTTTGTTAATGTGTGTTACCTGCAGCGTCTTGTCGAACCAGCGGTTGCCGCTGTTCCACTGGCTTCCTCCTCCGTGCAGCATCTGAACGGCTGCAGAGCTTCTGCGTGTCTCCTCCGACACTGCGGGCATCGCTCCGTCCAAACACAGCGTGAAGATGCTCCTCTGGATGGTGGACACTGACTTTTGGTTGGTCTTATCTGGACACATCCAAGACACACAGACACACCAAGTGAGCTCTGTGTAAATTACGTTTACTAATTACTTTAACGGAGGTAAAAAGGGGTGCATTTTGTTCACCTGGACGCACTGACCTCTTAAGAGCAACACATTGATTACTAACAAGTCTCACTGATATTATTTTATTATCTATTTAGCATTTCCCACAACATTGAGTCATAGTGGATGAGTATTTGAATGTCCAAAGAAAGCAGGGTGAGCTTTTTTTTTTTGTCAAAGAGTACTTTCAGATGAACAGGATGCTTTGTCCACAATGTGCTCTAAAATCAACACAAACCCAATATTTGTTTCAATATTCTAGAGGATCCCTGTAGAGGCAGACCTCTTTGTTGGAGTTTAAAATGCTTCTTTGCTGTTACTTTGCCTTCATCAAAGACATGATTTGACATAAACAGTGACTTCACCAAGTATAAACAGGGGGATGATAATTTACTAACTGCCTTTACCAGGGTATTTGTTTGTGTTACTGTGTGACACATAATGACGGCATTGCAAACGAACCCTGTGAAACATGACAATCACACAAAATCACAAATAAACCAAAAGACTGAGGCTGCAGTGAACCAGTACCTCCTTTGTTCTGCAAAGCAAAGCAGTTTTTGGTCATGAGTCTGGCTGTTTTTTCATTGTTCCTAATCAGAAAAAGTGTCCACATCCCTTTCTAAAAAAACCACAAGAACTTTTGGTCCACATACTTGGATCAGGTGATTCAGCCATTAAAGCCTGTTTTGCAGTTGCTGGTTGAAGCAATCAACTGGAGTCATTCTGACACTCTTGTGCAGGCCCTTACACATTACATTTCATCTATCTGAGGAGACCCTTTCAGCTCACCTTTGATGAGGTTGAGGTAAGCTTTGCCCCATAAGTCTCGATGCTGTGTAGTGAGGATGCCGATGGGCTCTTCGTTGGCCTGCAGTGAGGAGTTGCAGATCCTCTCCAGTTGAACAGAGAGCTGATCTGACGTCAGAGGAGTGCCATCACTGTTGTACACGTCCAGAACGAAGAACTGATCCCAGATGAGGAAACAAAGAGAGACTCAGTCATGCTTCTGAAATTAGTTCACCAGAGGGGCCTAAAAGAAATCTACTGCAGACAAAGATGTGAGAGTCTGAGCGATTCTCCTCACCTGAAAGTTGTGCACCACAGTGATGTGTTTCGGAGGTCTGGAGCTCTTGGCGTGGTTCACCACAGAGTCCTTCTTCAGGCCGGGGATACGGCAGGATGACAGCACCTCATAGTACTGATTCATACACAGAGGCTTCCCGCCGAGATACTCAATCGGTAGTGTTTCACTGCAAAACATAAAAACGTGCTGTCATATTAACTCAGTGGTGATATAATTGACAAGATTGTAAAATTCACTCTTTGTCTGCAGGAGTCAGTGGATACTGCAGGATTAAAGCTTTGGTCAGAGTTTGATGTGCACAAGTTTTTGCAAAACAAAAAAAGGAAAAACTTTCATGCAGTGGCATTATAACAGAGATCGATGGTTCTTCTATTATACTGATTTCTATCTACATAAACTAGACAACAAACAATCAGCTGATGGCAGTTCTTGTTTGGGAGAAGATGTTTGTGTATTTGTTACATAAGTGCGATATGCAGATCTGACACAGTATGACCTGCCATAAATGTGGGATGATTTCTTTGAGGCCAGAAATGTAAATGAACAGCAAATTGAAATAAAATGTCAACAAAACACCCAAACACAAGAAAGAGTTCGATGAGGCCGATCAAAAGAGCGTCTTAAACTTTGTACTCACTTGTCAATCATTGTCTTAAAGTCCAAAACACCCGATATCAGTTTGGCGGCAAACCTAAAGACAGACAAAGAAGATATTTCATTTGATCAATTATTAACTTTTATGATCATTTTTTCATGTTGGTCACATCAAAGAAATGCAGTTTCAGCTGTTTACTATCTTCAGTCTCCATAAAGAACACAGTGATAACAGCAGAGTGGAGCTGCACAATACAACTGAGCATCACAGTTAATGCAGTTTATCACACAAACTGTGTGTGCATAAGTTTATTCAGGAGGCAGTAACACTAACAAGGAATCCCTATTGTCAGGAAGACACTTTTGTGTTTAGTGAAGTTCTGTTAGTCCTCCTGTGCTGTCTTTTTTCCACTGTGTGATACATGGTAAGATCAATCCATGTCCAAAGTTTATCACAGCGATCCACATAAACTTTATAACCATCACATACAAAGATCTCTTTATTATCCAACCCATAAAGCTGACATAATTTATGTGGGAAGCTTTCTCATTGCACATGTGTGTGTGTGTGTGTGTGTGTGTGTGTGTGTGTTCACCTTATCTGTCCCTGCTTGTCCCTGAAGTTCATGCGAGGAAGAACCAACCCAGGACTTGAATGAACCACAACAGGGAGGCGGTACGTCAGGTAAGCCACCTGCACCCACCACTCAGACAGCTAAGGAGACAAAGACAGACAATGACAGGTCTATTTAGGACAAAAATTCATTTCAAATATGTTGTCTTCTGTATAGCTTCGGTGTTCCCACATGAAAACACACAAACTGTCTCACCCAGTTGTCGGTGTTTCCCGCCCTCTTTTCCAGCCCTCTCTGCAGCCTCTCTCCGATCCCTCCAGCTTTCTGAAAATCCTCCAGCAGCTCTTTGGTGTGTTTCAGCTCGTCCACCTCCACGATGGGCTCCAGTGCGGAGATGTAGCGCTCGCAGGTCTGCTGCAGAGGGGGAACTGGCAACGTGGGCAGACCCTTCTGATGGGTCAGGTACCTGCCGGAGACCCGGGTCACTGACACAGGCTTCACCAAGTGGCATGGTTTCATTAGGCCACAGGGCTTCGCCATCCCCACCTTCACCTGACAGACATCGAAGAAGCAACTTTTAGTGTTGGTTTGTTCTTTTAGCACAAGTGTAAAGCTTTCCACTGCAATTTTTTTTTATAATTGTATCTTTTTCAACTAGGGTTCCTTGACAGTCAAAGTATTGCGGTGAAAAAAGGCTCTCCAAAACAGTTAATCAATAGGAATGTGTAAAAATTTAATGAAAGGTGCAACTTAACCCAATTAAAGATTGATAAAATACAATAAGTCAGTTCAAAGTTAAAACTTATATCCAGTTAAAGCACACTTGAGCTTTTAAACAAAGATGATGAGGAATTAGCCAGTCTGACCTCCTAGGACAGTCTGTTCCTGACAGTAAAAGCCTGGTTCCCCTTAGTCCTCAGACCCTTGGCTGAGGACCTCAGGGTACTAACAGACTCGTAATGTGTGAGAAGATCAGTGATGTACTCAGCGGCCAGCTTGGATAGTGTTTTAAAGGTTATCATTCAGAGCTTGACATCGACTCTAAAATTTACTGAGGCTGTTTTTTGTTTTGCTTCGATGAGTCGATCTGAAGCATTCTGGATGAGTTGTGGTTTATTTAGGCTCTGCTGTGACAGACATGAATACAGGAATAATTTTAGCATAAAAAAACAAGACAAATGTATGTGTGTGTGTGTGTGTGTGTGAACTCATTTACATGCTTGCTGTTCTAGCTAACTTTGTGCTGCAACTTTAATTTATCTGTTTTGGAAATGCATTATTATTTGGATTCATTATTTACAGAGAGGCTTAATCTGCCTATGTGTCCCAGAATAAACAGAGTTGACATATTATGGTTATTTCCAAACACAACACAACATGCAGTAGAAGTGACACCCAGGGGCACACCATCAGCCACAGCTCATGCTCCTGACCTATGGACTCTATGGCACACCATCAGCTACTTTTCAATCTCTCAGTAACTTTCTGCTAACAGATCAGAAGGAACTTTTATTATGCAGCACAAGGATGAATATTCAGAGATATTACTGCCTAAAACTTATCGTAAACCATTTTACGTGATATTGTGAAAATTCAAAATATCTTCTATCCTTTCAACTCTTCTCATTGTTCATCATCCTTCTTACTTTTTTATGTTTCCCGTTTTTTAATCATTTTTTTCTTGTTTAAAAGACACTTTAATAGGACAGTTATGTCGATAAACATTAAGATACTATAACATCATTGGCTTAACTCTAAAACTTACTTTTGACTTCTGTTGACAGACTATGTTGCGTAAACTGAGGTGAGATCTTTGCAAGGTCTTTACTGTAATTATTTTATTTTATATCTGTATTTGTATATAATTATAGTTTTCTTCTGCGCAGTTCATGCACTGGCCTTAGTGTAAGTCTCTTAAAACTATGACAAATAGTTTCACAATCTCAAAAAGTTTAGATTTTGTTCACATTTTTGGGAGTGTGGTGACAAGTGTGGCCGGTAGAGGGCAGTCAGTTCTCACATTTAACTTAACTAGTGCGTGAAATATATGTAAACAAAAGCACAAAGTAAACAGAAATGGTCAAGAACAAACTTAGGAAACTGTCAAAAGCCATTTTCAAAGTTCTCTTTTTCGATGATGTCTTGTAAAGATGTCATTACTGTCTCTCCGATTAAAATGTTGATATTCTCATGAATTATGAAGGGTCAGTTATCCAGGTAGGAAATGTAAAAGGGATTTTAAACCGGTCTCTTTTAACTGTTACGTTTTATTAAAACTTGCTGAAGCCTTTAAGAAGACATTGAGATCTTTGAGTACAGTGACAAAAATCAAGAATTCAGGTGAATAGACAAGCGAGAACATAGTCAAGAAATTTTCCAGAAATGTAATCTTTCATGCCCCTCTGTATTTTATCATAAATTTTGACCAAAGTTGACGAAATAAAGACAGAAAACAAAGTGTAACCACTCTAACCTTGTGAGAGCGTTTGGTTTAGTGTCTGTAATGTGTCGTTAATGATAACTTTTTCACTAAAGATAGTTTAAAAACAGTATCTTAGTTCACCTTTTACCATATGCTCTTCCTATCAGATAAAAACTAGTATACAAACCGGCAATACTAACGGTTACAAACGAGTACAATGAACTCTGTCAAGCCCAGTTTAACACAGCCAAGCTTCCTTCAGTGTATTTCGGCTATATTTAAAAAGCAAATCACCTTTCACCCAGTTTTATCAGCCTGCTAACGACAGCTAGCCACTACTACAGTTCATTACGAGCCAAGTCAGCTAATTCTGCTAGCCGCTCACAATCCTCAACGTGCAGCTAAAAAGGAGACAACTAAACAGCAAACACCACCTGATATAAAACATCAAGAGGATTAATTTCTGTGTTTAAAGCTGCAGTTGGATATGAGCCAGTTGTTTAATACGAGCACAGTGAGCTAAAGGTGTCTTACTTACCATAGTTCTGCTGCAAATGCCCCACATTCTGATGCTATAGGAGAAAACCGCCCACCCACCGTCTCTGTACTGTCAGTGCTCAAAGTCCAGACCACCACAAAGATTCAAGCTCAATGTTTGATCGGCGGAGAAAACACCTGACCCACCAGCAGGCTCTAAAGGCTCCAGCAGTCAGGGATAATAATAACAGTTCAGGACAGCTGTAGGACACAACAGCCAGAGACGGGCAGTCAGAGACAGTCATTCAGTGACAGTCGGTCAGAGGTGCACACCTGCCATAAAGAGGGACAGGTGAGGAATTTACCCATGAAATGAGGATTAATGAGCTCCCAGACAAAAACAGGGAAATATACAAGATTTTCAATAATAATAATAATAATAATAATAATAATAATAATAATAATAATAATAATAATAGAAATAAATAATAATATAATGACAATAATAATAACAAAAAATAATAATAATAATAATAATAATAGTAATAATGATAATAATAATTATTATTATATTATTAATAATAAAAAAAAACAAATAATAATAATAATAATAATAATAATAATAATAATAATAATAATAGTAATAATAATAATAATGATGTACCAACATTAAAGCTTTTTATTCGTAAAAAAAATACGGTGATCATTAAAAATAAACTTCACAAAACATTTTAGGAAAAAAACTGCAAAATTTATGAAAATATTAAAAACTTTATTTGTAAAGCACTTTTAACAGATTTTACAAAAGGCTTATTTCATCAAACGAGAACAAAAAAATCACACAAAAAACGTTTTCTCTCTCTCTCTCTCTCTCTCTCTTTTTATTTTTTTTTTTTAAACGCATAAAAAGCGAGAAAATCATCCTGAATGCAAAATACATTTTTTTATGTATTCGTACACGTATTTCTCTTGGTTTAATATATTCAAAAATACTCAAACAGTGTGAGGTTAACTTTCTACGATATTCATACATTATTTAACTTTTATATGAGCATTCGACCTAATTATGTAATCGAGCGTAAAATTTAAAAAGAAAGGGAAAATAGTCACGCCCTACTGGAGGTATCATTTGTCTGTCGAGCAGAGGGTGGCAGTAGTGAGTAATGGTTGTCCTTAATCGCCCCAAACCCACGAAGAAGAGTGTCAGCCGGAAAGATGGCGGAAACAGAGCAGCAGTCAGGTAAAGCAGAGCTGAATGCTTCTGCTCAGCTCGAGCAACTTCTACATCTTTGATTATGTGCTTGATAACAAAACTGAGCACTTTAGCATCAAACTATTATGATAAATACTAAAGGATTAAATGTGGCTCTGTAATGAGAGCCTCGAAGGTAAACCTGCGCTGTCTTCAGATAAAGCTAACATAAACATTTTGAATAACTTTAGACTCGTTTGAGTTTCATTTACAGCTGTATATAAAATTAGATTTAAACCACTTTATTTCTTTACAGATGTTGTTTAATTCTTCTGAATATATCTGTTATTTGCTGTATTTGCTGAGATGTGTGAGCTAGCACATAAAGAGGATTTGCAAATGCATGTTTGCAGTGATATACCGGCGCATTTTACTGTTTTATTAAGAGAAAATCAAAATAAAAACTCGTGTTTAGAGTCAGATAGTTACTTAAAACAACCTTTACTTTGTATAAAAGCAAACTATGCTTTAGGGATGTGATGGTTTTGCATTTATCCGAAATTTTAAATCAGACTATTTGGGCAGAGAGGTGACTCACTGGAATTATGAATCAGTTATAATTTAATTAAAAAGATGACACTTTGTATTCATTATTCTTGATTCATCACACAAGAAGTAAAACACATCTCGGGACTTTTTTGGTTCAACTCACAAAACATGTGAACTATATCAACATGTGAATAACAAACACCAATCAAGAAAATAAGGGGATTTATAATACAGAAATGTCTGTTCTTAGTCAGGGCTCCTTTTGCATGAATTACTGTATTAATGTGGCAATCAGACGTGTCTCTGCTGGTGTGTTCTTGAAGTCCAAGCTTCTTTGATAGCTTCTGCAGCTCATCTTCCTTGTTGCCTTGGTGTCTCTCATCTTCTTCTTCTTGGTACTTCAGAGATCGTCTATGGGTTTTCAAGTCAGACCAATCAAGCACAGTTATACCATGGTCCCCTAACCAGTTTCTGGTTGTTTTGGCGCTGTGGGCAGGTGCCAGGTCCTGCTGGAAAAGTAAATCTGTACCTTCATCAGCTTCCCAGCACATAGAGCATGAAGTGCTCTAAAATCTCCTGGTAGACTTTAAGCTGTGTTGACTCTGGACTTAATAAAAGACAGTAGACCAACAGCAGCAGATGACATGGCACCCTAAATCATCACAGACTGTGGAAAAGTCACACTGGACTTGGAGCCCTTTGGATTCTGGGCCCCCTGACTCTGGGACCTTGATTTTCCAATGACACGCTAAATTAACTTTCATCTGAAAACAAGACTTCGGGCCACTGAGCAGCAGTCCAGTTCTTCTTTAGGCATGGACTGTGAATCTGTGGGCTTGGATCTGTAAAGTAGGAGTGCATATCAACACATGGCTCCCTGATACCAGAGAGGCTCTGTAGAGGAAAGAGGAAGAGGAAAACTGTATTCTCTGTAGGGGTTTTATTGCAGATGGGCAGATGAAGCCTCCAGAAGCTCTGGAGCTTTCCTTCAGTCCGTGCTGAAAAACACTCAAAGCTTTAAGCTCAGAGAACACAGTGACATCTGGTGGCTTGTAAAACTAAAGACAGCCCCTCACTGAAGGCGTGAAGCACTGAAACACCTCTCAAATATCCACAATTTTAGACCCTCTGAGAACTAATGGTTTGAGAAGTTTGCACATTTTGAAAAAATACTATTAGTGTGTTTTTATTTCAGAAAACTTTGCTCAAGTTCAGAAATGTTGTTTCTCATCTGTTGGCATTATTCAGTTGCTTTATTTTGTTAAATGCAAAGAAATGAACATTGACATGATATCAGTTATATTTCTTGTTATGGGTATTAGCCATAAACTGTATATAGTATATACAGTCTATGGTATTAGCATTGACTGTTAAAAAACTGATACCAGTCTGTGATCCCGGTTGTTTTTGATCATTTTACTGAAAGTAGTATGAGTATATAAACGGTTGCTATGAATTGATGATATCCAAACCTCTGGGTCAGACACTAAATTTACTTCTTTACTTCTTTAATTTAGCTGAGATGCTAAAAAATGTCCCAAATGTAATCCATTTTAGATCGCTGTATCCCTGAATAGTTTTTCTTTCATGAACTGTCATCAATATTAACACAAAGAATACTGTCGTTTTGGAACTTTTGAAGGATCTGCTCCTGAGGATGAAGCAGCTGAAGTCAAAGCGGATGACACCTTCATGGTCCCTAAGAAAGAAATCAACATGGTGCCCGACATGGGCAAGTGGAAGCGCTCTCAAGTACGTGGCTCTTTGTGGCTGTCTTTTCAAACTTCTGACACAAAACTGAAAAACTTTCAACAAAATTAAAAGCAGGCTTTGCAACACAGTGTGTGGATCATACTCGGAGTGAGAAAACCTTGGATAGCAACGTGTTTCTGAGCGTATAAGTTTGTGATATGAAGATAGTCATCAGAAGCTGTCGGCTTTGTCCACATCTAAAATTTGTCTCCAGCTGCTGCAGAGGTTTTATCAAGACCCCAAGCTCTTTCAGTTAATTGATTGATTTGATTTCAGGCATATTTAAGCATGATGTATTATGTCAGACAAAGGAAACCCACTGAATTGCTTGGAGTTTGTATTATGTGATCCTCTGTCTTTATCTTGGTGATTGCAAATTGAAAGGGTTTCTTTTCATTTTAACATGTTGCTTGTAGTTTTGATTTGCAGTTTGTTTGACGTTCCTTAAACACGTTTCCTCTGTTTGCAGGCGTACGCTGACTATATGGGCTTTATCCTGACTCTGAATGAAGGTGTGAAAGGAAAGAAGCTCACATGTGAATACAAAGTGTCAGAGGTATGTTCTTCGGTCTTTAATCAGTTGTCTTTTTAAAACACAAGTGTTTTTATTATAAAATCACTCAAGTTGACTTGTCTCGCTGCTTAGTTAAATAATCTGTTTTTACTTTTTCACTTTTTGTTGTATGCTCTTAATTTACTACTGTCAGATTTAACAAGAGGGTTTAACCAGGACTCAGTAATCTGTCCTTCACATTTGGGTCACAGTCTGTGATCTAACTTCGCTCAGTTTTAAAGAAAACCAGTACAGAACGACAGGTGGATATAGAGTCAGGCTCCAATACTCAACACAGTTCTCATCCTGTTAGATTATCATTGATTACTCTGAGAGTTATAAAAACATCATGCAGTGGTGATGAATGTTACATCAAATTTAGTTACTGTTACTGACGTGTGATTGTTTTGCAGACGGTAGAGAAGTTAATCGATCTTTTGGCGACTCTGGATCGATGGATCAATGAGACGCCTCCTGTCGACCAACCGTCTCGTTTTGGTAATAAGGCCTACAGAACCTGGTACGCCAAACTGGACCAGGTAAGCACTCACATGTTGTGATGATTACAAAATTAAAACTTAAAGATAAGACATACAGAAGACGTCAAATGTCATAATTGACTTTATAATTTCATAATAGTGAGGGCCTATCTGTGGTTTCTGTGCATGTGTATGCAGGAAGCTGAGGCCTTGGTGTCAGCTGTGCTCCCTGCGGATAAAAAGGCTGCTGCTCCAGAGATCGCCGTCTATCTGAAAGAGTCTGTGGGTAACTCCACCAGGATAGACTACGGGACAGGTGAGTACATGTTCAGGATCAGGTTTAGGTTCTGTTTTCTTCATTTTAATAGTTAGGTTTGTTTTATAGCAATATCAGAACAAACAACTCTTAAAAATAAAAATCTTCTCTAATAAAAGCAAAATAAATATGTTTCAGCAGTGTGTGAGCAGATACTGCAACGTCTTGTTCAGCTCAGTGATAGCAGCAGGAACAAAGCTCTTTTTATGTCACTTTGCTCTGCACCCCGGGACTAAAAAGCTAAAATCCTCTGCTCAGTGGGAAGCCAAAACTCACTGAGCAGATGGTGGGAGTCATTGTTTGAAATCCAGGTAGCTGTCTGCAGTACCTGTCAGTTGTATGCAGACATTTAGTATTTGGCTCAAGAAAACCCCCGTCCTCTGCAGATGTTAGATGGTAAAACTCGATTATTTTATATTGTCAAAGTTTGAGGGGATGTTAGCTGTGTTTATGTTTTATCTTTCAGGTCACGAAGCTGCGTTCGCTGCTTTCCTCTGCTGTCTCTGTAAGGTCGGTGCTCTCAGAGTGGATGACCAGCTGGCTATTGTTTTTAAAGTTTTTAACAGGTGAGCTCTTCCTGCTGAGGTTTTCCTGCATGGTCATTAGTCATATAGAGATACTTCAACTGGGTTGTTTATTAATGCAAAGGAAAATTAAGCTGTTCACATGTGTCGCTCAGGATCGGTATGCAGAAGAGGAGTGAGACAGTCAAATTTACAAATCCACCACACACTACCTAACTTGCAAAATATGTATTAATCTGCCAACACTTGACCTTATAGCTTCACCAAGCTCACACATGCCATGTGCCCTGTCAATATGTTGGTACAAAACTCTTGATTTGTAAGTGTGCTATAGGCGGAAACTATTAGGCATTAGTAGTAGATATGTGGCATTGTGGGTAGGGTGTTTTTATTCCCCTGTGTTTGTCCTGTTTGTTTGTTGCAGGTATCTGTCAGTGATGAGGAAGCTGCAGAGGACCTACAGGATGGAGCCGGCTGGAAGTCAAGGTGTGTGGGGACTGGATGACTTCCAGTTTCTGCCCTTTATCTGGGGAAGCTCCCAGTTTCTAGGTAAGACTCAGACTTGGTAAAAAACTTACAAAGAGAAGATTTTTTTCCCTACTTTTTAAAGACATTAGTGTTCCTTCAAGTTTATCTGGGAAAAAGTTGCTGTTTTGGTTCTCAAACATGCAGTTGATCAGAAAGATGTCTGATGTTGTGTTTAAGTCATTTATTATAGCACGTTTAGGTATGGCAACAAGACAACTATAAACAACACAATATGTTGTATATATGTAGGTCCTCAATAATGATTTAAAGCATTAGTGTAAGGGGAGTAAGAGGCAGCGGCTGCAAAGGCCTGATTGCTCAGCTGGTTTCCAGGCAAGTTTTCAGCACAAGTTTTCAGCACATCCAGGAAAGCTGACTGGTTTCTCTAGCTGGAGTATAAACATGGAGAAGCTCATTTAAGTAAGACAGTGCCAAACTTTTAAAGGCCTTCAAGGTCAGCAGCAGAATTTCATTTTCAGCTGAGAGCGCGGCGACAAAAAGCGGCCTGCACTGAGGACATGTCTGGCTGAAAAAGCTGCACTGCATTTAGTTAGGTAAGGATGGAAAACAAGCCCTGCTGATGCAAAAACAACACATCCGTTGACACACCTCCTGAAAGGCATAGTGCACATTCCCACACAACTCACAGTGCTGTAACTTGATTGACATCTCATGATATTCTGGATCAGTCAGAATGTAATGCCAATAAATGAAACATCAGAAGATCCCACACAGTCAGTTCAGGTTTAAACAGTTTGTACTGTAGTTGGGATTAAAACAGCTCCTTGACTCAAATCTTTATGACTCAACAACAACACCCAGTACCTCACAACCATCTCACTAAAAATAGAATGCAATGATAAGAAATATGAACTAGGTGTATAAAAAACACACTTAACTGAATGCAATGAAAATGAATACAGAAACACCATAAATAAATTTCACATTGAGCTGCTGGAAAGGCGCATTTCTGTTGGAACAAAGGAGTCTTTCAGACTGTCTGTCCTGCATGCTGATAGGATATATCTGCAGTCAGACAGGAGCAACAAGAACTTTATTTAGGATAGACTGGACCTTTACAGAGTCCTGAGTTTGAATAGATCACTCAAATCATTCAGAGTTGCCCAGTGTTGACGTACATCTGCATCATGTCCCTGATCTGCAGTAAATCGTTTCCCTCAGCAAAATTCACCCCATCTGATCTCCTGAAAACAGCACTCATGGTGACGCAAATGTGTTACAAAATAATCAGCATAAATAAAAACTATTCCTTATTTATAGCACATAGATCAGGGGGTCACATCTTGAGCTTTAACTGCAGTAATGATCTGCAGATGGATTTAAAAGAGGTGTGTATTGCTCTTAAATTGAAATAAAATTAGGATGTATACTGTTTATCACAATAAGCCTTTGATTTCACATCACAACAGAGGCAGAGCTCGAGATATGTTTGAACTCCATCAAACGGGTCAGAGGTAAAAGTCCGAAGGTTGACTCAAACTGAAGCTCTGCAGTGAAGGTTGAAGCGATCACCTCCAGTGTCGGGAGAAGAGGTTGATTTGGTTTGATGTGAAGGTAAACAGTGACACCTGGTGGTGAATGTGTGCACTTACAGCTCATCTCTCCCTTCAGATCATCCAACCCTGGAGCCTCGGCACTTCATAGATGAAAGGGTGGTGAATGAACATCACTTGGACTACATGTTTCTGGACTGCATCAAGCTCATCAATGAGGTGAGAAAACTGAGAATAAAAACTCCAAAACTTTTCAATTTATTAGAGAGACTTTTTATTGTTTTCTCAAACATGTTCAGGGCTTAATTTGGTATACTTCCATCATATTCATTATTGAATACTCTAATTTGAAGTAATGTCAGATAGATAACCCTAACTACAATACTTTGACAGTCTTGTATACAGCTTTAAATAGCTTTTGAACCAACTTTCTGCAGAATATGAGTCCATTCTGTGGCTCCCTTCCACTTAAATGTTTGGAAAGTTCATCAAATATAACGTTATAAATAAAAATAGGACAAACAAGTGCAACAGGATTAATGGCAATGCAAAAGACACTCATCAATCAAATGTACAAGTCATTAATTTGGTTTTGCAGCCAACAGCTTGAGTGATTTGGCTCAATCCTTGCAGCTGCAGAGCACCTCTGTAGGCAGCATTAGGCTGATGTTTTAAGTGGAAAAGGTGGTGTGTCTGTGCCTCTTCTTTTGCTTTTTGTTGAAACATTATCATCAATGATCAGGTGGGTAACTCATGCGCAGCGTGGCATTAAGTTTGGCTCATATTTTCCAAACAGGCAGCTCTGTATCTCCTCACTGACTGATTCTCAATATAAACAAATGTAGTGGGTTCAGAGACGTCAAAATAACTTTATAGAAGTTGTCATCCTTTTGTTGATGTAAAGGAAACTCTTCACAGGAGCTTTAAGCTTAAGTTAAAAGTGATCTGCATTCTCTTTGACAACCAGCAGGGGGCAGCTACAGTGATTTCAAAACACAAGTCAGAGTGTCTAAAAGTCTATCAGAATAAAGAGTTCACATTTTCCTCATGAGTTTAAGTCTAAATTTCTAGTTTTAAGTCTTCTTCAACACAATATGATGGTGTTTTTTTGTGAGTCATTATCTCATTTAAGATCAAAACGGACTAGAGAAGCAGGGGAGGATTTAGGGCAGGGCTACTGGAGACTGACAAGTTGGAAAGTCAGTTGAGATAAAAGTCTCTTAAGACTCAGCTCATCCCAGCAGTTCACATCTCTGTTGCTAAAACCACTTCTGATTCAAAGACTAAAAATCTGTAAACAAACTGTCTATGGTAACACCTTACAACAATAATTGACAAAACAATGGACAACAACATAGTCTAAAAGTAGGACCACCCTCTAACGGGCAATACCTTCATTATCCTTGGAAACTGAATTTAACAAACTCCTTTAGTTTTTATGGTTTGGTTTTTGTACCCTGTCCTCTTACTGTGGGGTTTCATCTTAAGTGTCTATCAGGTAATTTTTTTGGTGTTCTGTCCCAAAACCTACTTTAGGACAGAGCTCCCTTCATCAAAAAGTCTGAAGAATTAAGTTTTTTTTATTTAAAATTTATGAAGACCTCAGAACAAACCACTGAGGCATTGCTGCTGCTTGGTGAGGTGAGAGCAAGATGCTTGCACCTTAAACCTTTTTAAAACTTACAAATTTTATGTCCTTTACATCTTTTATAATGTCAAGACTTCATGGGGAATGCTATTTCATTCGTTTTTTATCATGATTCAGAAATAGGTCTCTCACTTTTTAGACCAGCTGTTATTACCTCTTTAGTCCTCATCAACTTTCATGATCACTACAGCATCTCGTGCTGTCCCTTGGCTTTTCAGACACACAGACAAATACACATACCTGCTCTCCTTTCTTCACCTGTGGCTCCCTGATAGTTTGTACCACTGCTGCAACAACATGTTGAAGATACAGATAGTGCCAAGGCTCTTCTGTTAAAAAAGAGAGGGAGGGTGTGCCTCCTTCAATGTAAAGGATGTAACAGAGGCAACAAAGCAGGTTGAACAACATCATTCAGTCTCAATTATCAAAATCTTATGATCATGGGGGGGCAAAATTGTAATCCAAATGAAAATCGGATTACTCACCCAGCTCTGAAACATCGGCCACTAACGTCATCGCATGATACGTCATTTGCAGATGTGCAGATATCAATACATCTTAAAACATCATGACCACCTGTAGTTAGAGGGACCTCAAAGTCTGTTTAATGTCATCATTTAGTGGAGGTGGAGCCAGCCTATGACGGTTTTTATATTGAATATGAAAATGAATAAACTGTTCATCAATGAAAAGCAGACAGAGAGATTTTTTCCGGACAAGCTGTTGAACATGAAGGAACACTTATGCAGCTTTTCTCATGCTGTGGTGGAGACTGAAACAAAACCAAAATAGTTTGAATATTGGACTTTAAAGCAACCAGTCAGCCAACTTAAACCATCAGGTATGTTGTTTTAAATGAACACAGTAGTGTAAATTACTTGTGTATAAAGAGAACTAAGTGTTCTTGGTCCAGATTTAGCAGTTGGATTAAATTGGAGCCCAGCTGAATGCGGTTTGGTCCAGGAAAAGGAAGACGGGGGAAGGCAGATGGATTCTGCTGGTGGAGAGCCAGAGCAGGAACTGTTCGCTTTGTTTTTCGGTTTTGGAGGAAAAGGAGGGGAGGGAAGCAGAGGAGGGCGTTGGTGGAGCAGCAACATCCTTTTCCTCTGTCCCACTCAGAGGCACCACCTCCCTCCTTCCCTCCTCTTCTTTCTCCTTCTCCTCCTCCTCCTCCTCCTCCTCCTCCTCCCTCTGTTTGACCTCTTCCTCCTCCTCATGGTCATGAGAGGATGCTGCTGTTGAGTCAAGAAGGAAAACAGGGCCTCCAGGGTGCTCCCGATCAGTTAGGATGAGAGTTTGTGTTTGGAGACTGAGTTTTACTGTTTGCCTGGTCATTGATAAATCTTTTGATGATGTTCTCTTGGCCTAATTTTGGCCCAATGTCATAGTAAGAAGAAGAGCCACTTTGCTAGAGTTTGATTATATAATTATTTTAAAAGAAATATTTTTTCAATTCATGTATGTCTGCAAATTACTTCTGATTTAACAGCCATGGGCGTAGAAATGTACAGATTCAAGCCTATCAAAACCATTTTTTTTAAGCAACAAGTAAAGGTGTTTTCAGGCCAGTGTGTATTGTTGGGGTCAGCAGGGCTGAACAGCGCTGTGTGTGTGCATGTTTAAGTGTGTGTATGTGGCTCTCCCATTGTGCGATTACAAGCTGTGTATCTCACACTTGATGTGAAACCACACTCTGAGACACCAGCATGATGCTGTTGTCTGCTGCATTGTCCAAGTGCAAAAGTGTGGTCAAGGATGAATTTCTTTCTTTCGTCGTCACTCATTGCAGAGTGTTAGACTCCTGTGCAACAACACTGATGTTAAAAACTAATACGTGTGTACAGTAAAACCAAAGAAAATGTCTCTCAAGATGCAGAATACATATTATTACAGACTGCAACACAAAAAATGCTTTTAGCAATTGTTAAATCAAAACTTTATCTTATTAACATCATATACAGCAGTGAACAGTATCAATTAGGTCACATAGTCCATCCAATCAAATAGTGTTGTGGGCGGGGCATTAAGAGAGGCAGCGTGGATAGTAAAAACAGACGCAGATACAGAGACACACAGGCAGCTGAGTCAAAGTAGCATGTTTTTAATACTTTAATTCTATCAGCTATCTGTGAAATAAAACGCTGATACACATAGTTGGCCAAATGCTGAATATTAGCTTTGATAATTAGCAAAGGCTGACAGTCAGTCTAACCGCACAAAGTACCAGAAAGATAAGAGTCTGCTCCTGCAGACTGCTGACAAGGACCTCCACAGAGCTGTCCAATGACTGAGGCTATAAAAGTGCTACAGTAGTGAGTGAATTAGAAAATAAAGACAGATAGCATACTCTCTGCACATCTCACACTTTGTCTGGAGTGTGAATGATTATTCAGAGGAGCTTTTTTGATTTTTGATTTGCATTATTATACCAACAAAAACCTCCTTTATTTTACCTTTCATTACTTTAAACAGGATCAAGACCCCCCCCAATAATCGGTATCAGCATCGGCCCCAAAAAAATCCATATCGGTCAGGCCCTAGTCAACAACACAACCAGTGGGGAGAAAATGTTCTGTGTAATTAATTTATAAAGTTTGTCCACAGCTCCATTTGTTTTTGCGGGAGGAAGGAGGGTTTATGACCTATACTGCAACCAGTCACCAGGGGGTGCTGTTTTCACGGAGGTTTAACTCAGCAAGGAGGTGGATGATGTCCATTCTATATACAGCCTACGGTTAGAAATCAAAAATTACAAAATTTTAGTGCACAGGACTTTGATTCTTGCTGCAGTGGTATGGACACGGGTATCAGTATCATTTGATTTTTACAAGAATGATAACAAAGAAATAAATTGTGGTGTTGTGACTGCTTTGTTTCCCATCAATATAAAGATCAGGGAGACAGCGATCTACTTGTTTGCTTGAGGAAAAAAAAAAGCGCACTTGCTCTTAAAGGATAAAATTCTGATCAACTAAACCCCTCTGATCTTTTTATTGTATCCTAACAACACCGTGCAAAACAAGACCAAAACATGATCTCCTCTCTTCCTCTTTACAGAAACCATTTCTTCATATTTTAGGTCTTTCGGGATATTGCTGTGATAAAAAAAAAAACATAGTGTTTATTCTATGTTGGTCTGATTGTAGATGTTCTTAAACACAGCAAAGCTGTAAAAATAGTTTCAGTAAACAAAAATATTTATCCACACTCTAAGTGCTGTGTTTACCAACATTGGGTAACCACGGCAACACCTCTTAGGCGTAATAGTTGACTAGGTAATCCCCACGCTGAATGTGGGTTAAACTGATTATAAAAACATGTTATTTTTCTTCAGTAGATGACATAAAGTAAACATGACAACACTCTGTCGGGCGTTTTTCTCTCCCTCTCTCCATCTTTCACTCGTTTTGCTCAGTTTCCCTGCAGGCCTGTTTTTCCTCTTTTGTTTACTGTTAGTATGCACCCCTCCACATGTTCTCTGAAGTATTTCCCTCTTTTTTTTTTTTTACACACATATGGATCCTTTAAGTTCTGTTTTTTAATCCGCACACAGAGCTCCACTGTGCGTGTCTGTGTGTGTGTACATATGTGTGTGCACTCGGTCCTAAACATGAGTCACTTCCTTCCCCACATGCTGCTGTGAATCACTCCTTCCTCCAGGGAATACGGGCTGTCTCCACCCCCCTTTCCTCCCCCTACACGCCCTTCCCCCATGTGTTCTCATGCGAGGCCCTGGAAAGTGTCTGAGGCGGCGTGCGAGGGGGGAGGACGGGGGACTGGGAGATGGAAAAAGGAGGGGGTTGTTAGATTGATGCCCCGGGGTCTGGGTTTGGGTTCCTCTGCCTCTTGGGAGAAAATGGTGGGAAAACAGTCTCTGGACGTGGATTCATTCATACATTTATGAATTTATACATTTGTTTTTGTCTTTCTAAGCTCTCCCTCAGACTCCCTGTCTTTTGTTCCTCTCACTTTTTTGTTGTCTGTATGTACACAAACATGCACGCTGCTGATCGAGGGTTCACTATTGCTGGAAAACAGTCCCTCTTTTGTTCTGTGTGTCTCTTTTACCGCACTGATTATATAGCTTAAAGCAGAATCTCCCGAGTCATGAGACAAGAGTAAATGACACAAACAAGGCCAGCCTGGTTTTTTTGTTTGTTTGTTTTTTTGTTTTTACTGTTTATAGTCAATCTCTTTATTTTTTGCTTTGAATTATTCACTGTTTTTCTTTTATTTACAATAAATCCACAGTGATGTTCACCTGTCTTTTCTGTGGATAAAAATCAAACTGTCCTAAAACTTTGACTTATAATATAGATCTAAAAGTTGACCACACTAACATTCCACCTGGCCAAAAAAGGTATGCGCACCCCCTTAAAAACTCATATTACTGTATAAATATATACATATCTTTTTGTTTGTTTGTTTCAGTAATTGAACAAAAATACAACAATAGAAACCATAATTTCTTTTTTATAAGCTCAGACCATTGCCAGCTTGTTTGGCCTGAAGCATGTCAACAATTGTCATTAGGGAGCTGGTGCCAATTTCAGAGTTTCTTAAATACTCTGACTCCACAAACCTTGTGCAAACACTCAACAACCATGGGTTATTCTAGGCAGCTGTATAAGAAAGTGAAAATGAAGGATTTTGATGCCCACAATGTAGGGGTGAGCCATAAGATGATAGCAAAGCATTATCAGCTTGTAGTTTCCACAGTGTGATGTGTAATTGAGATCTGGAAGACCAAGGAAACTCTTGGAGCAGCTCGTAGGCTGGTTTGAAAAGGTAAATGAAAACCCACATTTGACAGCAAAAGACCTGCAGCAAGATTTAGCAGACTCAGGAGTGGTGGTACATCCTTTCAGTGTGCAGCGATACTTGCACAGATGAAATCTTTATGACAGAGTCTGCAGAAGGAAACCTTATCTGCATCCTCATCATAGAATGCAATGGGAAAAATACATAACAGAATATTTAGACAAGCTTGATAAGTTTTGGAAACAAGTGCTGTGGACTGATGAAGTGAAAATCAAAGTCTATACAACAGGAAAAAGAACCTAAATAAAGCTTTAATACTCACCATGGACTACCTCTAAAAATGTAGGTTTGAAGATTTTGGAATGGCCTTCAAAGTCTTCAGACTTGAACATCATTAAGGATATGTGGTGTGATCTTAAAAGAGCTGTGCATCCAAGATGACCCAAGAATATAGCAGAACTGAAAGCTTTTTGCATGAGGGAAAATCCCAAAGAGTAGAATCAAGACTTGTGGTTGGCTATAAAAAGCATTTGCAATCAATGATATCTGCCAAAGAAGGTCTTTTTAAAAAAAATACCAGAGAGACAATATGCTGTTTGTTTCTTGTACCAATTTTTCTTTATAAAATACCAAAAAAAAAAAGAAACTGACAAAAAATTCAGGGTTGCAAAATTATTTCATTATTTGAAAAAAGGAAAATTAAAAAAAATGGGATTATTTAACCAAAATGTAAAAACAAAAATATTTTACCAAAAGGAAAAAAAATGTGAAGAGAAAAATATTTCACAAAAAAGCAGTTAGTATTTCATACCACAGAAGTCACCAAATAAGCTGGAAAAAAATCATAAAAACTTAAATTATCATAAGAATCAGAAATTTCACTGATTTCCCGGGATACACAAAAATAGGATATAGGTTCACAAAATGAAAAATATGATTACCTTTATGGCTTTTTTGTGTTTTAAAGACATTTAATTCACACATGAGTTTTGTTAATTCCGGTAAATACAATTTTTATGTTTTTGGCAGTCTGTGAACTTTTTGTGGTTGTTACAACATTTTTCTTACAACATTTTACATTCAGAGAAGGAGCTGCTGTCACTGAGAGCTGTTCTGCCCTGCCAGCTTCATCGATTCACACCACCACTGTTTTTCCTTGATGCTTCTTCAGCTACCCCCAATGGCAGATCAGAGGCAGAAAAACTTCATAGTCCAGCTCTGTTTTGGTCTTAACCAACTCCAGAAAAAAAGAAAACCTTTAAGACCACAAACTAGAAACAGAGTTTCATCCGTCTGCTTTTTGTCTCTGGGCAGTTAATATCAGAGAGACTTTTTAGTGAAGTAAGCTCATTCATGCAGCAAGTTTGAGGACAGAAAACAGATAACAGGCGAAAGTCCTAATAAAGTAACACTGATACCTGATGCAGCTGTAGAGTTAGGAGTGTTAGAGTGTTCTTGGAACAATGAGTAACTACTTTCTCATGCAGATTTGAAAACCATTGTTTTATACTAGATAGAGGGAAAATACATCCTGTAAAGTCTCACTGTAGATTTCAGAATGACTTGAACTCTTTAGTGGTTTACACTCTTCACTGTAAGATCAAGATGTTCCTTTTAAACCAAGCCCAGACTAGTGAAAAATACTCACAGTCACTTCCTGAGTTGTCACTTCTGTGATCTGTCTCTGAGCGTGTGCTGCTTTTTAAAAACAAATGTTAGAAAATCAAACCAGTGTTTGCTCCAAAGGCCCGATGTTTGTCCCTCAATGGAGGAAAAAGCTTTCAGTCAGCTTAAAATTTGTCATTTACAGGATTCTCCTGGTGACCCATTTTCACAGTTTAAACCCCCTCACTGTGAATGAGCTCACTATTTTCCAAAAACTCACAGTTAGCAGAAATATATGGCTTTTCTTCCATGAATATGGGTCATCGTTGGATTCCTTTCTAAATGACTCAACTCGGGCTGACCAAAGCTTCATCAGCAACGAGACTCAAAACAGTCTAAAACCACTTTTCCAGCCTGCAAAGGGACCCAGTGATACTTGGACAAATCACAACTTTCCTTTTAACAACATGCGTACTTAATAATGCAAAATTTAACTCCAGCAGATCTATGATTTCCTTTTGTTGGACTTTTCTAAAAGATTTAATTTTGCTGAAAATTAAGCAACAATTTTTGACTGAAAGGAAATTTAGCTATTTTTTAAATATCTTATATGTAGGGTCTAAATCATAAGTGGTTCCTACAATGTAATCCATGAAGACAAGTGTGTATGCAGTCTAACTATGTAGAGATCCTTCCTGTTGTAGGACACTGAGAACAACAATCTGACCCTTTTGGTACCAAAAGAAATAAATTTGGGTCATCAAGCACATTTGCAGTCAGGTCTTGGTCTGTTCATGCTCAGTTTCTCCGCTGAAACAATCTACAAGACAAAACAATTTGTACCTGTAAACCTTTAAAATCTGTGTACAAAGAAACATATCCAACAAAAATGGTCTGTGGGAGTGCAACTGCTGCAGGTACAAACATCCTTCTGCAGCATTTTGATCTCTCATTGGTAGAAACAAACCTAATGCCATTTAAAGGATTTTTTACAGGACTTCACAGTGGGGTCTTCATAGTGGAGTTCTGCAACAAAGGGTCCTGACAGTGGAGGTCTGCAGACTGTCTTGAAAAGTTCACTTTACGCTGCAGCTGTAAAAAATGAACATCTGACAGCTTGAATTGAGACTTCTTGGATTGAGCTTTCTTTTCTAGTTGACAGGTTGTTTGAGAGCAACTTATATTGCAATGTTGCGATGCTAATACTATTTTGTAATAACGGAAATGGGAGACTTCCATTTTCCATGAGGCCACTTTCGTCTAAACAAGACCCTAAAATATTGCAAAGTAACTCTGAGGTATAAAAATAAAGGTAGTCTTGATTTCAACTTTTGCACCAAGGCCACTTTTGTCCTATGATGATGACTGAAGCTGTATTCAGACATGCACAAAAGCCCCCAAAACTGCCCTGATTAGTTTTCATCTTGATTTTACCCAGACTTTTCCTGCCAGCCCCTTAGTAAAATTCCCTTGCAGATTTGGGGCAAGATGATGCAAAATCACAGCAGGAAGTATCCTGACTGAGCAGGCAGGTGGGGTGATGACGTTTACATCATGTGGGAGCTATCATCACAGTGTAGGTCTCTGTTTCTTTGTCCTTCATCATGTTGTTAACATCACACTGTGACTTTCCCAAGACTTGAGCGGAAACACACCACACTACACAGAACATGCCAACAAGCAACTGGGAGAGGTCAGGGGCAAAGCTCCAGAAAAATTTCCAGAAAATTCGGGAATTTATGTGTACAAGAAGTTTCAATTAAGAAACTGCAAAATCCAGAGTCAACTCCATTTGTTACCGTTTAGTTTTCCTGATTTAAACTGTGCTGTTACGCTCCATTTCTGGACTTTTTCATGTTTCAAAAAGTTGCACAACATCTCTTTTGTCCCACTATAACCTCATCTTTGTCTCTCTCTGCTGTAGACGAAGACGGGCCCGTTTGCTGAGCACTCCAACCAGCTGTGGAACATCAGCGCTGTTCCTTCCTGGTCCAAAGTCAACCAGGGTCTGATCAGAATGTACAAGGCCGAGGTACGCCTGGTTTTGTTCTCTCTCTCTCTGCATCACCCATCAGTCCAAATCTTTAGTCATTAATGGGTCTGATGGAAAGTTTGGTGGAGAAGTCTGTGCTGATTTAAGAGTCTGTTTAATGTTAGTGATTTGAAACTTTGTTGACCCTAAACTGGAAAAACTAAGAGGGAAAAGCAAAAGTGGGAACTCTCATAGATAAATACAAATACAGATATATATATAAAGAGAGTACATTTCCACTGTTAATCTAAGGGAATCAGTCAGTACACTGTGTTATTAACTGACTGGAAACCCTGTGTTTCTCTCCGGTGGATCGGTTCATGCTTGAGCAGGACAGGATTATATAAGAGTGAACAGAATGACACAGTTAGAAATCCCTGTTTCTCCTGGTTCCCTCAAAGGCCAGAAGTGTGGAGGTTTTTTAAAGAGAGGTTTTATTTTGTGCCCAACTTGATCAAATTCAAATACATCCTCAAGCACCTAAATTAATTCAACCATATTTGCAACAACAGAGCCAGTAATGATGAGGAGTCTGAAAACTGCTCGATTGGTTAAACAAAGACAGGCCGATGGTTCTAGCGTTATCCTTGTACTAAATACAAATTCAAGCATGTTGGGTCATATACTTCGTTCTGAAGGTTGGTTTGGCAATTAGCAAACAAAAGAGCACAGACAAAAGTAACACCATCAGCTTTACGGGTGTTAAGTTTAAAAATTAAATGGAAAAGTCAAAAGTCGTAGAATTTTTGAAAACTACAGAATGTCTTATTTCATTGAGTAGTTTAAATTTTGCGTTTTCATTGCTTCCTTCTATGTTTCGTCCCGACCACCAGAGGATAAATTAAATGCCGGAGAACATTCTTGGGTGAATGTTTGATATGCTTTCACAAAACTACTTGTTATAAGCCACTCTAATGACTTGGTTTTGGGGATGCGAATGTCAGTTGTGCAATCAGTCCTTAACTTTGGCTGAAATTTTGTAGCAATTCATTAATGAAACTGGCTTCACCTCCTGCAAACACTTGGGATTCAAACTCCAGTTGACACCAGTGCTGTCAGAGTTGACACATTGCTCTTCCAAATGTGTTAATTTTGTCAATTGCTTCGTCTTTATTTGGTTCCATTTTGCAAACTGTAGATGTGCCTGTGCTCTTGTTGATGCCATGTTGGACAGCTGAGGCACTGCAGCTCTTTTGGACGATTTATTTTACTTGAAAAACTCTCCCAAATGGCTCAGTTGAAAACTCAAAAGTAATATGCCCTTTTAGTCAAGTGAATCATCATGCATATGGGTGCAGCTAAGCAGGCCGATATCAGCAGCCTGTGGCAGAGTGTGGATCTCAGGGACATCACTAGGTTGGCCATTTGTGACCAGTCATATGCCTCACTGTCATGGAGAACAATAGTTTTGCACATACAGGACCTAAACAGAGAAAGCATTATAACCGGAACCCCCTGGACATCAGCTATTAATCAAAAGATCCCAGAATCACTTTACACCAGATTAATACTCATTTAACATAGTATACATGTTCTCCTACTTAATCCTGAATGTCTCAAAATGATAAAATTTTAAACACACAATCACACAATTAATTCTTTGTTTCATGGATTACCATTACATTTTGTTAAACTTTGTCTCTTAGATGTGATAAAGTCTTTCTTTGGAGGTTACTTAATTCTCTTTGCAGCACAGAAGGTAAAAAAAAAAAGGATAAATCAAGTCTTAGTATGATTCAAGTCTGACATAGAAGAATTACATCACAAAGGGATTACCCTCAGACTTGGCTGATTTTGCATTTCATGCTCATTACAAAATGTTAACATTTATGATTTCTGCATGCTCACACACGTAATGAATTAGCAACCATCATAGGCAGTACATCTGCTTCGTATCAGTATGGTAGCCGTATCACTGTGAGCATGTTTGCATGTTGATGTCAGTATTTGGCTCAGAAACTCCACTGAGGAAGAGGAGCTTCACAGAGCCGGTGGTGAGGTACTGCAGCTCAGTAGATACTCAGTCATAAAGCAATGACCTTTTACACATATGGGCCGGTAGCACTTGATAGCAGGGTTTGAATCCCAGCGTGTTACAGTTTGTTCAGGATATCTTCTAGGGATTTCCAAAGCACCTCTGTTTCTACCTGTAATTAAAATGTAGATGAATGGAGTAGTCTAAAGAAAATGGTCAAAATTTGGCTCAGTTTATAAAACCTACCTAAACACAGGATCACAGAGTCTTCAGGCAAACTGAGTCATATTGGATGCAGAGTTTGGCTAGCCCTAGCAGAGCTAGCACCTCAAACCCCCGTCCTCCTCCCAGGTTAACACATTGATGTCTGTGCTTATTGCTCTAGTCCTGAGGTCATATGCTAGTTTAACTAGTCACAGTCTAAATACAACTTTATGTTCAATTTCATGGTCAAAATACTAACAAACTCTGTGTTAGTTTACATCTGGGTAGTAGAGCATTACAGCAACATGGCAGTAGCCCCAGATTCAACATATGGCTGGCATTTCAGGCCTAAAGTAAAATGTTTTTTTCAGCAATATTTCATTTCATTGACTAATTTGGGTGCCAACTAGCAAGAATGACCATGTTTTATCTTTTAGTCAATTAGACACACACATCCTTAGGTTCTCCTGTAGACAGTATGAAATATTGGTGAAGTCTCAGCAATGACTGCAGTTTAATTGGACTTCTATCAGAGTATACAAACACAGGGCAAGAAGCAATTTATTGATGTGATATGCTTCCTTCCAGTATGTGTCTATTGGACCGTCAAGAACTATTATACCAAACATACCAAAACAATTGGCAAACAGGTTAGCTAGAGTCTAACTGTCTGTGTGTTGAACAGTAAAAACATAGACAGTTTTGCACTTTTGCTCTTGTAATGAATTAGATTCATGCTGGTGATGATATCTGAAGGCTTTATTGACTACCCAATAATTAAAGGGAAAACTTATCCCCAACTGCATTTTCCTGATGTGGTACAGAAATTTGAGGTAGTGTTTGGTGAGCAGTTAAAAGCAAGCACCGATAGCCTGGTAATCTAGGTGTACCGGGTTCAATTCCAGCCTGTGGTCCCTTTGCTGCATGTCACTCCTTACTATCTTCCCTGTTTCCTGCTTTATCAATTGTACCCTATTAAGAAAAGGCCAAAAAAGCCCAAAAATCTCTCTTTTAAGAAAAGGAACGGCACTGCTAGCTTAGTTCTTACACTGCGTGTTTTGAACTCTAGCATTTAAATAACACCCAAAAACAGATATTTGATAACACTGAGATTCTGTCTCCTTTAAAAATTTGGGGTTGGAACGATCAAAGCATGAACCCCATCAGGCTATAGTCCTTTTTGCAGAGGTTGAAGGATCAACTCTTTGATGCATGTCCATACCCGCTCTCTTCTGCTCATGTTTACTGTCTCTCTTCAGCTGTCCTCTCTAATGAAGGTGAAAAAAGCCCCAAAAATGAACCCTCCCAAAAAAATCCTGTGATTTGTTTAGTTTGTATTCCCAGAAACACAGACATCTGAAAGGACACAGACCCCGCTCTTTGGTCAAGTCTTTTTAATCCTGAGAGGTTAGACTCATGTCTCACATATAGTAACACTTTGAACTTATCATCAGTCCAAACACAGAAACCTCTAGTCATACTTTTTGCCATTGTTGCTTCATGCATAATATTTTCTGCAACTAAGCAACCAACTGTGGTGTAGACAATCGGATCCCTGTCTTCACCTGCAGGTAATGCTCTCTGTGTGAGAGTTATGTGATATGCGTTTCTTGAACGGCACTGTTACACTCAGCACATTGATATTGCAAAGGTTCAGAGTATAAGTTTAGGATGCACTTTCAAGAAAAAGACATTTTGACTGGTCAAGCCCTCTTGAAAATTTTAGATTCACAAATTCAGGTACAACCCGGATTCCAAAGTAGTTGTAACACTGTGTGAAACATTAACAGAAACAGAGTTTGGTGGTTTGCAAACTATTGACACCTCATATTTATTTGGAAATAATACAAAACTTCCTCTGATGTTAGTATCATAAAAAATATCTGCTTATTTTGAATTTGATGGATGCAACACGTTTCAAAAAAGTTGTCACATCGTGTGTCAGCAGCTCTTTTTTCACCAACGCTTTGTAAATGTTTGCGAACCCAGAAGACCTGGAGTTTAAAAGTTACATGTTGTCCCATCCTTGTCTGATAGAGGATTTTGGCCACTCAACAGTTCAGGGTCTCCTTTGTCCCATTTTTGTATCATGGTGCTCCAAACGTATCAATGGTTAAAAAGTCAGGACTACAGGCAGGCCAGTTTATAATCAGGACTCTTCTACTACAGAGCCATACTGTTGTAATCCCTGCAGAATGTGGTTTATCATAGTCTTGTTGAAATATGAAGGTCTTCCCTGAAAAAGTCTTTGTCTGGATGTCAGCATATGATGCTCCTAAACCTGTAGATATTGTTCAGCATTAATGGAGCCTTCACAGATGTGGAAGTTACTCATGGACACTGACAATCCCCATACCATCAGGGACACTGGCTTTAGAGTGAGAGCTGTCGACCAGCTGGGTGGTCCCTCTCCTTTTTTGCAGGGTGGACACAGTGTTCATGATTGTCCATTTTTCATTTGTCAGCCCACAGGACAGTTTCCACTTTCCCTCAGTTCATCTTAAATGGGCTTGGGCTCTGACAAGTTGCTGTCATTTCTGGATTCATATGTTGATATGTAGTTTCTTCTTTGTCTGGTACAGTTTTAACCTACATTTGTAGATGTACGGTGATTTTGAGCCCATGCAGTGATTTCCACTATAGAGTCCTGTCTGTATTTAATGCAGGGCTGCCTGGGGGCCTGAAGATCAGGACCATCCAGTCTTGGTCTTGGTTTCCGTCCCTTTTGTACAGTGATTTCTCGAGATTCTTTGAATCTTTTAATGATATTATTTCTGTAGATGATTAAATCCACTCATTCTTTCACATTTGACACTCAAAAACATTATTCTGAAACTGTTGAACTATTAGCTCACACAGTCTCTCACAGAGTGGTAAACCTGTTCCGTCAGCCTCTCTTAATGTCCTTATTTATACCCAGCTGTGTTACTAATCTGTTGGAAATGAACCTCATTAGGTTTCTTTAAGCATTACTCAACTTTTCAATGTTTAATTGTCCAACTTTTGTCAAACACGTTGCTCATTTTTTTGTTATCAAGAAAATGTAAACTTAAATGATTTGTAAATCATCAAAATTGGTTCTAAAAACATTTTACACAGAGTCCAACTCTTCTGGGATTGAGGTTGTAAAGACATCTGAATGAACCGCGGTGGAGGAACTTGAAACAAAAGTTGTATCGACGTAAACTCTTCACTTATTTCTTGTTTTTTCTCTCTCCTGACTTTGACAGAAACTGTTTTCTTGTTTACATAAGTTTTAAAAAATCAGTTTACCGCTGGAACCCGACTGTGACCCGGTTCTTTTAGAGCGAAACGCCCAAACTGAACAGCAGAGGAGAGAGGCAGGAAAGGGTTAAGAGAGGAATACAGAGAATGGAATTGTGTGTGTGTGTGTGTGTGTGTGTGTGTGTGTGTGTGTGTGTGTGTGTGTGTCTGGTGTGTGTGTGCGTGTGTTTGCTTTGGTGTGTGTGTGTGTGTGTGTGTGTGTGTGTGTGTGTGTGTGTGTGTGTGTGTGTGTGTGTGTGTGTGTGTGTGTGTGTGTGTGTGTGTGTGGGCGGTTGGGGGGGGGGTTGGGGGGATGTCTAAGCCCGTTCTCCCCGCCTGCATGCCCACATCCTGTGTTTTCCAGAGCAGCCTGTGAGTCTTCCCAAAGAGCTGAGGGGCCAAGCTGTCTGCCTCCCCCTCCTCTCTCCCCTCTCTCTCCCTCCTTCCTCCCTCCTCTGCCGTTCCCTTCATTAAATTCACCCCTCCCTCTGTCCCGACCTTCCTCCGAGCCTGGAGCAACCATCAGCAGACTTGCATTCCTCTCTCCCTTTTCCTGGCCCCACACACGGTTTCGGGCAGAGGGTTGTACGAGACGGAGAAACAGCAAAATCCAACATTTCTGTTGAAGAGTGTGAGGCGATTCTGAGGCCTTGACGTCTGTTTCAGGACAAAAAAAGTGTAAAGTGACACAGGCTTGGGGAAACAATGGTAGAAACAAAGGCCTGTTTGCTAAGCGAGGAAAACCAAAGTGTCCTTTACAGAGGTTCTCACCTTAAATGTTGGTGTTCTCTAATTTGAGCCTCTTTGTTTCCGTACTGGTATAACAGTCTCTTTGTTTCAGTCTTCAGACAGCCAGTGGGTCACAGTTCATTCAAGTGCGCTGTAAAAAATCAACTTGCACAGACTTGAAACTTGCTTGAGATGGATCATTCATCACAGTCAACAACATGTACACGAAGTTCAACGTCTCAACACGTAGATATACATACTGCAGGGAACTAAACTGAATCCAGAGCGCCTGGAAAGGAGAGCACATGTTCAAAAACACTTAAATGCTGTTCCTCATCTATTTTTTGTCCTTTGAAATGTTAAGTGTAGTCTAAAAACAGACTTAAACAGGCCTTTAGATCTTACCCCATTGTTTCCCATTATGAACTTTATTTAAGCAGTAGACTTTTCCACTTTGTAGTTTGTGTTAACTCTTCCTGAAGCTTCTATTTTAACATTTAGGCCAAAGTCGTCTTTGTCTTTTTGGAGTCAGAAATTCACATATTTTGATGAGAGAGTGGGGCGCTGAGTTAGTAAATGTAAAGTTATCATTTAATGCTAGAACTGCCTTTTCAATCAAAGTGACAGTGGATTAGGTAATGTTCAAACATTAAAAACTTTGTTCTATAATAGATATCAGCTAATTTAAATATTTTGTTGGTAGCACATTTCTAAAAAGTTTGACGCAACCACACAGGTCAAAAGTTTTGTGATGCTAATAAAACAGCTGGAGGTACATCTCCAAACTAGTGAGGTAAATTTCCAACAGGCTAGTAACATGACTGGGCAAAAAAAGGACATTCAGAGAGGCTGAGTCTCTCAGAAGGAAAGATGTGAAGAGGTTCACCACTCTGTGAGAGACTGTGTGAGCTGATAGTTCAAACAACTTTCAAAATGTTTGGTTGTTGAATGAATTTTTACATCTACAGAACGTAATATCATTAAAAGATTCAGAGACTCTGGAGAAATGTCTGTACTTAAAACATTTAATTGTTTTTAAGTTTACTAAAACAGTAACATCATGATGCAGATTAATGAGGCACAAAGTTTTGTCAGGTCTGACCTCAAGAGGAGAAGAAAACAACTTTCAAAATGTTTGTTAGTTTGTTGAATGAAGGTCAGATCCATAATTTCTGATGCTTTCAGGAGAGTCAGGAAATCTAAACACAGATTGTCTTTAGTGACTCAGCATCAAGCAGGTTAAGTGTTTCAGCTTAAATGTTTGATCTAGAACTGATTGTGAATTGACCTTCATTCAGATATCTGCTAATACAGAGAAATAAATCCTCCTCAGATTACTAACAGTGGGAGCTGGAGTCATTCTGGTGGATTGTGTTCTGCCTGGTTTTGCTCTCCATCCAGAAAGTTTCACCTGCAGACACCAAAACCTGCAAATCCTCCAAAGACAGGACCATCCCAGTTTATTTGGGTCTGACCGGTCTGAAGTTCATGTATTTGGATGCAGCATTTGTTTTACAAACTCTGCTGGTCATAGAGAGAGTGCAGATTTAAGGCATTTCTGAGTTTGGCTTCACTCTTCATATCTGGAGACTACGTCCACTTTTATATAGTTTAGGATTCTTACAGTGTGATTCATAAACAATTCAATAAGATAGAAAAAAAACTTTATGTAATGCTAGTTAGTGGACATATAATCCTTTTTTTCCCATTTGAGATATGTCCATTGAATTGTTGCCGATACAACATAGAATATCGTCCGATTTAGAAAACCTGAAACCATAAGTTTGAGGTAAGAGAAACTAAAGTGTATAAAAACTTATTGATATAACTCATAATGTGACATGTTTTGAATGTCCTATAAAGAGTCTAACAGTTTTATCAACATCACTTAGAGGATTTTCCACATTTCCACTGATTAGACAACCATGTAGACGAGAGTTTCCAAGGCAGGAAGTTTTGATCCAGTTCTGTTCAGATGATCATGACTGATAGTGTCCCTGCACAGACTGACTGAGCACAGAGTTCAGTTTCTGCAGTATAGACTCCCAACCCCCACCTCAGACACCCACAAACCTCCCACCAACCCCCACCCTGCTCCCCGAAACTGGGTCCATGTCTGAGCACACAAAGAGCCCCCTCCTCCTCCTCCTCCTCCTCCTCCTCTGGGCTGATCACAGACGTTATGAAAGAGGGAAATGGAAGAGTTAACAGCAACGCTTTGAGTCAAGGTTAACTTTCAGGGTTTGGGCTTCACTAAGAGTCTATTTAAAAGATGAGAATGTGTTGCAATGACGCCATCAGCAGGAGAAATCTGACGAAAAACTATAAATCAAAAACTGCTCTCTGCGTTTAAAGCGGGCCATTTTGTGAAATTCCTGTGACCGTTTCGTTAAAAACCCCTCACTTTACTCCTTTGAGATTCTTTTATCCTCCTATAACAACAATTAGTTTACCTTTAAGACTGCCACTCAAAGATCACCAAATGTGACATGCTTTTCTTTTTTTCACGATCTGCAGGGTTTGTATATACAGCTTCCCTCTCAGCAAACGATTAGTTTGAGGCAGCAATGAAATAGTGCAACAGTTGAATGATGCAGCAAACTTGATCTGAAGTTTAGAGTATCCCAAAAAGTTGAACACTGAGGAGACTGAAAAACAGACACAAATGATACTTGTAGATGGTTTCAGATAAGGCTGGGCAATAATCTGAAAAATAACTGGAATTTATGACATTAACCAACGTCATTTACCTCATATCGGTATATTCACTGTCAAAAATATATTAATAATTGAAGTTGGTTTTGGATGTGTGTAGGCAGGCTATGGTCTCGTGTTTACTTAAGACGCTGTCCTACATCAGACACTTGACTCCACCCCATCCAGTCAGTAACAAAGAGAGAAAGACAGGTGAGGAGATGGAGGACGGTTCAAAAGTTGTAGCGGCGGCTGAAGTAGGCAAAGTTAAAGTGTGAGGGGGTGAGCAGCTTGTGGTAGTTATCATCCATTTATCGCTATCGAGGTGAACTGCTCAATATATTGTGATATTGATTTGAGGCCAGCCCTAGTTTCAGATTCAACTGAGAATCCGTTTTTGTCACTTTTTGTTTTCATGAGTTTGACTCCATGAAAAAAATCTCAGTTTATTGCAATTCTTCTCTTGATGTCTTAAAGCTATGGTAGGCAACTTTGACGAAACCAACAAACACACATTACCGTAAGCACAACAGCATTTTCAAGAGGAGCATAACCCGTAGTTTGAGCAGGTAACTGTAGCAAATTGGTTTCCACAGTAGATGTAGAGGTAGTAGAAGAGGTGTAACAGGTGAAGTAGTGACTGTATAAACAGCAGAGCCACCAGGATGGATCAGGGCTTTGAATGTCTTAAGCGTGTGTTGTTTATGTAAACATCAGGCCATTTCTGCTGCTGCTGCCACTCTGAGGAAACACCAGGACACAAATGTTGCAACGCTTTGTTGTTGTGTTTAAGGGCGCTGAAGCTGAGCGATGCTTGAGATAGCTTCTTTCTGTTTTGTGGTTTCTGTGTAAAAAGGGCCAGTTAGGAGACACTGATTTGCTTTTCCAGCAGGGCTTGGCACCTGCCCATGACACCAAAACGCGAACAAATGGATTGCCTACTATGATATTATTAAACCTGGTGTTAGGTCAGGCAAGCCAAGGTCAGCCCACATCAGCAGACAGCTCAGCCATTTAACTTCTACATATCTAATTGGCAAATGTCACAATGGGTGTTCAATTGAAGGTAACTCTCCCTGCCTTTTCTCACTACTTTATCTTCAAACCACTTTGCAACCAGTCTTCACCCCAGCTCCTCTTTTATTTTGGTGACTGGGCCATCTGGATTAGAGTTTAGTCATCATTATGTCTTTTTACTCTCAGACTACACCCCGAAAAGATGTAATAATAGTGTCCCAGTGTGTCATTACATATCTTATGTTGTTCAGGAAGTATGGGAGGCACGGCTTGTTTACTTAAGGTGCTTCTTGACTTTCCCCCAAAACTAGGGACCTTCTCCAGGAACCAGATGAACTAGGGTCTGAATTAAGTTCAAGGGTAAAAAAAAATAATTATCTACCGTTTGAAAAGCCCCTGCTCAGGGGGGTAGTACTTTTCAGTGGCCCAGGGACTTTCTGGGGCAGGGCCTGACAATATAATTTGCACACAAAAAAAACAGGTTGTTAATTCAAATATAAAATACTGTCAGCACAGACACACATATACTATCCTTAATGATCTATGGTTATCTGATTAGTGTAGCTCAGATGTATACACATAAATTTTGACTCCACTTTTGTACATTTCTTTCATTTTAGTGATGCTTTTAGGCATTTTAAAGTTTCAGGAGTTCGATTATCAAGTATCAATTTTGTTTTCATATTAGCTAAGATCACAGCTCACCGCAGAACAATCACTTTAGACCCCGATACAAACACAGACCATAATGATCCACAGGAACCATTTGGTTCTTCAAACAGACATCCCTGGAACTACGAGCTCCGACTGCTTTTGGTTGAAAAGCACCTTTATAGCAGAAACTCCACACACATTCAGACACGTATGTACATGCTGCTCTTTTCCTTGCTGCTGGCACTAAGGCTACACACCACCACCACCTCACCCCCGTTCTATCTTTGTTACCACCTTTAAGGGAGGATCAGAGGTGGAACGATACCACCCCACCATTACCCTTTGGTCGTTACACATGTAACAAGTATAACTATCCCCCCTTGAAATAGCACCTCCTGTTCTGTATCCCAGAGGGCTTTGCTGCTGCTCTCCCTGCCTTGGCTTAAGGAAAGAGTGCACCTCCCACATATTCCACATATGAACATGGGAAGGCAGGGAGCTCTTAGAGCAGAGCCATGTAGAAAAATGTAACTCATTGCATGGATACATTTATAGACAAGAGGTTTTGTTTAAAGATATAAATGTTGCTCGTACAAATGTTAACTCTCAGCAGGGGGTGGGGGTTCCAAATTCAACCTTTGACAATAATATGTATTGTCTCTTGGACCCCCTTACATCGTTTTTATCATCTTACCTAACTCTCTCTCTTTCTCTCTCTCTCTTTCTTTCTTCTCTTCTCTGCAGTGTTTGGAAAAGTTCCCTGTGATCCAGCACTTCAAATTCGGTAGCCTGCTCTCCATCCAGCCAGTGAAGCCTTGACACTCATGCCCCACACACGACGGAAAGACCAAAATCCCCATGGTTGGAACCAAGTTTTCCCTTCCTCTTACATCCTCTCGTGCAAATACAACCGTAGCAGAGATCCACCACACGTAGTCTGACGCACGCACTCCCACATGATCACGCATGTGGTCTTAAAAGCTTGTAGGTCCATCCATAACTTTAATGCAGAGCATGTTGTGGACGGCCTCTGTGACTTTGGAGCATCTTGATATTTTTGTTGTTTTATTTATATATTGGCTAGAGTTTGAATCAGGCTCCTTTGAGAGTGAGGGATGGATTAGAAGTGTGCTCATTGATGCTTGGTTTTACCTCCGTTTGGGTCCTTGGAGTGAGGTGATTGAAGACTTTGTGAGTTCTTCTACATCTTTTGCCACAGTTTCTGCTTCCACTTTAGGTATTTGCTTGGTTCCTTTTTCAGGCCAAATCTGCTATTTGTTGAATAAGTACCAGTATTAATATTTCCTCACTTATAAGGAAGTTTAGATCTTTAAGGAAAAGTTTGAACAGCTTCTACAAAACAAAATGTGCATCATAGTTTCGTGAAAAGTAAGAATACTCACCACTTGTTACTTGAAATCTCTCTCGGTAGTTATTTTCTCCCTCAGAGTCTGTCCATGACACCAGTCTGCACTCATGTCGTCATCGTAGTCCCTCCAGGTTGAGCTCCATTAAAACCGGCCCTGTTATGGTAAAAATAATCAAATAAATAAACAATACTGTGTCGTGCTGTGCAGCGCTTTCCCACAAAACTCTCCTCGAGGGTGAAATAGTGTAGTTTTTTTCACTCCACTTTTAATGAGTGATAAATTCTGCATCTGTTTCGATTGGCATGCCGTCAACATCCAGGCATGAAGTGTTTTTTATTTAGTTAAAGAAATGCTATTTTTGTGTTTTTTTGTTGACCTGTCAAACCTGATTTAATAAATTTTTCCTTTTCACATCTTTATCTGGCATCTTTTTTTCTCGTGTCTGTGTAATCTTACAATCACTCGCTCTCCCCCTCACATGTGTAAAGACAAAAGCAACCAGCAAACTTGAAAAATGCTGTAATCACAGAAGTAATTTCAACAAAGTGGCTTTAGCCATATTTTGATTTATCAGCATCACATGCAACAGGATTTCTATCAGGGTTAAAGTTCATGTTGAAGTTATCAGAGCTGCGCTGCAATGTTACAGGAATAAATGATTTAAAATATAAACATAAATTTTAAACATCTTTTTGATGGCAAAGGCAGGACTCATATGGGGAAGTTATATAGATGTAATTGTAAAGATGTAAAATGCAAACCAGTGTCACATGAATTGTCACTGATACCTGCTTCAGTGTCAACCCTGGGTTTCTTAGCTGCTGCTCTACCTGCGATGGCTTTCAATGTTTGCACATACAGTACAACACAAAGATAGGTGTGCTCTCCCTGCCTCAGGCTTCTCAAATATCCACATGGAAGGACAGGAAGTTCTCAGAACAGAGCCATATCACTAAATATAACTCATTACACGCAAATAAATGTGGTCCTGAATTGAGCCTGAAGGTAAGGAAAACCAAACCCCAAAAAAACACTGACAAGCTGAAGTCCTCTATCAAAGTGACCTTGACGTCAATAACACATCAGCAGAGCTACAGACTAATCACCTCTGTGCTATGCAGCGCACGTGTTGAACAGTCATAAACTGTGATACTCCTACACCGGTGCATGCAGTGACATAGTTGTAACTGCGCACTAATACAGGTCATCCATCCGTTGTCTGTCGAGCTTTTCATTGCCTCATCTGCCATGCATCTTCTCCAGGAAAGCCTCTGTGGTCATTGGAGTGGCTGGGATGGATACATTTGAATAAAGCCTGATTCAAACACCTTATAACCCCAAGTCCCACCCCTTTTCACACTTTACATTCATGCGTTAACTTGTGGAAATTAAACCACAACAAAGAACTGAGATTATAAATTAAATCTGAAGTTGAACATTTCTGTTTTCTAAGATTGATCGATCTTTGGAAATATACAGATAATATTAGATAGTGGATTTCAGCTGTAAGCCAGAGTCATCAAAGTCATGAACAAAAACTACTTACAGTATTTACATGTTTGTGCAATAAATAAATGTACCGTATAAAAAAAGAACCTTTAGATGATATTCAAGGTTTTTTTTAGGGATACACGAGCAATTACGCAGACTGAATATCTGAGGATTGTCACTCACAGGCAAGAACACAAAAATGGTTTTAACATGTGCGTGTTTCTTTTACTAATTGTTGACACATCAACAAGTTTATCTGTAAGAGGGTTTCTGGCTTGAGGTCCTTTGTTGCTCTGGCTCTTGACTTTGTCTTGCTTGTGACCCAGAGATGAACCCGCTGTGAGGAAAATGGATTCTGAGATGAGAGAAGAAAGTGTTGAATATTTTATGAGTTAGGATACTGTAACTCCTCCTCTCTGTTAAGGAAAACCTTTTTTTTTAACAGATGTGGTTTCCAGGATCAGGGAAACTCCGACTCGTGTCAAACTTAATATTCAAAATCAACATAAACCAGTCCTATTTTATATAACGGACGGACTGGGTGAGTGAGAGAAGGAGGGAGGGAGGTGGAAATCCCCTCTCTTTCTCATACAGGATGTTGGAGAGGTGGAGGGAAGCAGAGCGGTCCAGAGGAGACTGAGGGACTTGTTGTCGGACTCGGCTTGTCCTTCAGAGGAGTGAGGTCTCCACAGATGAGTCAGCTCTGTATCATGAGTTCCTGCTCCTTGACTCACACAGGAAAGCACTGAGGTCTAACAATCCTCCTCAGCTCATAAAGTCTGATCAGAATCAGATCTTGTTCACAGAGTCTTTGGGTTCAGACTTGAGTATACTTCATTAACAAAACTAATGGCTTTAAGTCGTTTTTCTACTTTTCAGCAGCAGAATATGTTGTTATGTCTCTTATCTCAACACTGCACTGCAAAAATTTAGATCTTATAAAGTGTTTTTGTCTTTAAGTTTAAGTTGGCTTAAAGCTCCTGTCAGTAGTTTTTGAACCTTTATGAAAAAGACTTACATTTATATTGACACCTTTTATAATATTCAAAAGCAAACACGACCACTTTGAAAGCCTGAAATCAGTGCAATGTAGCAAGTGTCAGACGAGCAGCTAAAGAAAAAGCCTGTTTTTATATTTTCCACTTGAAATAGTTCGACAAAAGTGAATCATTGGACTGTCAAAAGTCAGCAGGTCCATAAACATTGCTAGAAGAGACTTATTTGTACACAGGGGGGTGCCAAAGTTGCCAACAGCTGAATGTGACTTACAGGAGCTTTAATTCTAGCCAAATTGTCAAATCAAATGTCATATTTAAAAAAATAAGGCCTAGGAATCTCATTAGGGGTAAAAAAGAAAAAAAAAACTGCCAGTGGTATGAAAGTGTTTACTTTTCAAGTCTCTAAAAAAGAGTTAAGTTCCTTCAAACAAGAACTTGTGGTTAAATTTTTTTACATTTTTATACAGCCACCACATAGATAACATTACCTTTAGCAAAGAGAAGAGACTGTATACATATATCGCACTATCTATGGTAATGTTGACACTCAGCTAATATCAAGCTAACTTACATCTTTACTTTCATGTTCTAATATCTTAATGTATTATAACATTCACCCAGTTACGTCTTATTATCATCTCATTGAATTAGCATATCCTCAGAGTTTGAACCTTTCCTATTTAATGTCCAGGCCTAGATTTTTCCAAAACATTTATTTTGGTCATTGTCAGGCCGGACTCATGACAGTCAGGAAAGGTAAGCAATTAAAGAATAAAAGCTGAGTTTTGCAGCTGTTTTAAATTGATAGGAGGTCAATTCTATTGAAAATAAAAAATGGTACAGTAATTTCCCCCGGTGTCAAATTAGCAGTACAACTACTAATTTCAGGCTATCAAGGGACTTGTTTAGCCTAAGGTTTTACAGTGTATATTACAATTCCTTTATGAGTGAATAACAAATGTCTGCACTCTCAAGTATTAGTGTTCATTTGGGGGTGAAAATGTGAGGGGAAAGCCTGAATTTGTTGGCCTCATTTGGAGGAATGTTTGGAATGGGACAGCTGCGTTGACGCGCTCCGACATGCCTCAGCCTGAATGTGGACTAACAGGGAGGCAGTTTTTTGAAATGGGATGCAGCTGCAGAGTTCAGACGGTGAAAACGGAGGTAGAAAGTAACAAAGAGAGTTAACTGAAGTGCTATACTTAACCATGATTAAGTCGCAATTATTTCGTTTAATGCCACTTTCCTTTTTTACTCCTCTACATCATAGACTGGATTAATGCTACACCACATTTAAATGAGTAACTTTAAAAAGACGCAAACAACACTATAGGTGCACAACCACGAAAGGAAGTCAAGCTTTAGTGTCTTAAATCAAGGCCAAGTTAAAGGTCATTATTGTGGTGATTTTTTAACTTTCTGAAGTAAAATTAAAGCTCTGGTGGGGAATTTTCAACAGGATATGAAACTCGTTGAAATTAATAGAGATGCCACTTTATGTTCTAAAAAAAGCAAACAAGACCTTCAGAAACAAGTGTGAGTATTTCTGTTTTGTAAATTTGAATGCCTTAACCTCTGCAGGGGAGAGGTGTCAGGCCAGAGGAGTGAGAGCTCGCTGAAAAAAAAACACTCTTTACCATATCCCATATGGTAAAGACTTTTACGTTGGCTGTGTTCTTATACTGTTCACTTTAATGTTTGGGTTGTTGCCCCAGTTTTTTGTTTGTTCAACTTTGGAAATGCCAGTAACAATGATATTTTTTAAAAGGCTCAAAATTGTATGTTGTTCAGTAACTCTCACTTTTAGGTCATTAAAGTTTTAAAATTCAATGAGTTGTTCAGTGATGTTCCCCTTTTAATCTGTCAGAGATGAGATGTCTTTTTTTTATTTGAATCAGTCTTCTAAGTTTGTATGTGATGAAACACTTTATCTTTTGTCTCATCTATGCCACCATGTCATACATAATGCAACAAATGTCTAAGGCATTTAAGACTTTGGACTAATATTCTTCTCCCACACTTTTTTTCTTTGTATAACAACTTTATTCACAAAATGTTTTAATTTTTTTCTGTAACAGAATTAATTTTTCCAATACAACAACTTACTCCTCATAAATGTTATGCTTTTTTTCTTGCACAAGAACTTCTCTCTCATAATTTACAGCTTTTTTTCTGGATTCAAGACTTTATCCATGACTTGACCAGTTTAGTCACACTAAAAGACAACTTAATTCCTGTAAAGCTGACACTTATTTAGAGAAATCATTCTGAATTTACAACTTTTTCTCTTGCATCAGGACTATATTCTCTTTTAATTAACTGTTAATTAATTATTTAACAACTCCTGGAATGGACTTAATTCTTGTAGTCTGATGATGTTTTTGTTACCAGTTAAATCTCAGAAAATAATGACTTAGTTCTTGTATATTTACAGTGGCCCAAAGTCCCAGATAGTTTATGTAAATTAGACCACTGACATTTAGGGGAGTAACAGCACAGAAGCACACGCCCGGAGAAGGGGCTTTTTGGGGGGTAAATCAATTACCTCTCTGAACCACGTTTAGACTCTCATTCCTGCACACAGAGTTCTGAAGAAAAGTTCCTGGTGTTGAAAAGTACCTTTTGTTTGTCTCAATAGGAGACTTGAGGGGATTGATTTAAGATAAATAAAAGATCAAATATCTGAGGCACTTGCAGACAAATCACCATTCTGTTTTGGCTCAACATAAGAGCTATATCTGTTAAAGAAAAGGGATCTCACACTAATCCTGAAAGCTCTTTTCTTTGTGTGGTATCTTGATTTAATGTTATCACAGAAAGACAAAAATAATCTGTGATTTTTAATGTGTAAACTTGGACTCTTGTAAGTGAGGCGGTTGAATTATACATCAGCAGCTTCAAGTTGAACTCTTGACTTCTTCAGAGAGCAC